TCCCTACCAACACCTCCATCCCATGTTTTTGTGATCTGGGAAAGCACAGGTGCAGGGGGAACATGAGGAAGGAAATTGCCAATTGTCAAGACCTGCTCTCTGAACCGCCATCATATTAGGGACTTTCCAAATGTTGTCTTACTTTACCTTCACAACATCCCTGGGAGGCAAGCATTGTTATCTGTTTTCTGATAATGACACTGAGATTGATCATAAGTGTCAGAGCTGGAATTCAAATTCAGGTGTGTTACACTGCAGAGGTCATTCTCTTCCTGCTGCAGACACTGCCTGAGCATCAGATGGTCTCTCTCCCTGACCCCAGCGTAGCCAGCAGCCCAAGGGCCATCTGAAACTGGAAGCCAAGACAGGTGGATGTGGCTACCATCTCGGCCATAACTTGGTCTCCCCTCTGTCAATGGGGGACTCTATATAACTCCACCCTGCCCTTTCACCTCACCTCTGCAGGAGGTTAGCTCTCCCATTCCCTGCAGCCCCACAATTTCTTCCAGATCTGGAAGGTCTTCCTTGGAGTTTTACAAGCAGTAGCTGGGGACTCCACCAACTTGCCTCTTTGTAGACCCACATAGAGAGGCCAGACTTGGTTCTCAAGGTAACGAAGCTTTGTGGATGCTATGCTGGGTGCCCTGCAATCTAATGCCTTGGGGCTCTCTTTTTAAGAGACAACCTTGGGGGTAGTCTCCAGGGTGGGCTTGGGACCCTGCAGCTGCCTGGTCTGAAGTGGTATCCTGCAGGATCCTGATCACTGCCTCTCTGGAGAATAAATTCTTTTCCATCAAACCTCCCCTCTGTAGCCTCTGCCCACTATTGGTCCTGGGGAGAAATGAGGAAAGCAGGGTGCCTGGGTTTTTATCACCCCAGGCTACCACACAGGCATCAAGGCCCTTATACTCATTCTCCAAGTCACCTGCAAGCCCTCAGGTGGAAGGGTATGCGTCCTATAGGATACCTCCCTCTGTTCCTTTGCACTCTGAGCCCAGTCCTCCACCTTGACTCTCTGATTTTTAAGCTGGGGGAGAGCAAATGGCATGTGCAAAGGCACAGAGATTTTTAAAGTGTATTGTGCATACAGGAACCACTGGTCTGTGGCTAGAACATGAGGACGTAATATGGGATGGCAGATGTGACTGAAGAAGTTACAAAGACCAAAAACTGAAGGACAAGTGCCAGGGCTGGAATTAGGGACTTTGCCTTGACAGTGGTTGGAGCCATTGAAGGTTTTTAGAGCAAGCGAGTAGTAACCTGGTCAAATACGTGTTCATGAAGGTCACGCAGGCAGTATGAGGAAGTTAGATCGAATGGAGGAACGTGGAGGCCCCTGTCGTTAGTGTGAGTGAGAGGTGGTGGAGCCCTGCTTATCACCTGCTCTGAAACACAGAGTGGGGCACAGATTCAAAAGACACCTAGGAATAAGAACTGATAGCGCCTGCTGACCGTATTTATTATACACAGTAGGTGAGGGAAAGAAACCGGTTCAAGATGCTTGCAAGATTCCTGGCTGGGTGCACAGTGATTCCATTAACCTTGAGAAAGAATCTGAGTGGATAATCAGATTGGGAGTGGAAGGACGAAAAATTAAGAGCTCATTTTTAGACGTGGTGAAATTCGAGGTGCCTGAGGGACGTCTCTGTGGAAGTGGAGATGTCCAGTAGCAATTGGATATATGGATATGGAGCTCAGGAGAGAGGTCTGAGCCAACGATATAGATGTGGAAGTCATCAGTAATGGAGGCCTTGGGAGTCCTCTTGCAAATCAAACGCTCACCACCTCATCTATGTTTTGGAAATCCAGACTTTTAACACATCACTTTTGTTTTAAGCAAGGAAGATTAAGCTATGTCCTCTGTAAGCCCCAGGGCACAGTGGCTGCTGAGTGCCTTCACCCCCAAACTCCTTCTCCACCTGCCCAGGTGCTGGTGGCACAGCACATAGTGTGTGCCATGTGAGAAAGAAGACCACATGGACCAGCATTCCCTGGGCACTTTCCAATGACGCATGAGGACTCTGATTCCCCAGGTTTGGATTCCAGCAGCTGTTAGCTGGGTTAGAAGGGATCAGCCTGGTGTCTCTACACCCCAAACTACCTATCTCTTTGACATGTGTCTTCATGCCAAGATTATAACACTTGCTAGTAATCAAAAAAAAAAAAAAAAGGTCTTCCTTCTGTAAACAGTCTGAGCTGGCTTATGCTGCTGAGCAGCTGAGCAGCTCTGTGCTAACAAATGGACGCTACAACGGCACCCCAGTGCCCATGACCATGTCTCTGACCCTGACCCTTCAGTGTCAGAAGGGGACACTACAATGACGTACCAGCAGGAGGAAGCTGCCTCGTGGAAGCTGCCAACACCACTGAATCTCCACAATACAATCCCCACATGCTACCTGCAAGATGGTAGTATTTTTAGGCTTTCCAGAAAGATTTCATTTCACAGTTTTTCTGAAAGGTTGTAATTAACTGCAGCGAGCAAAAGAATGTATTTTTTAAAATAAATTGGGGAAGGAGAGCGAACCAATCACCACAGTTTTGTCAGTTCCTTTTGGTAGGTGGGTTCCTGCATCCAGGTGGCTGGGGGAGGGAGGGACGGAGGGCCAGGCTGGTGGAGCTCATTCCAAGTGGACCAAAGGAGAACCAAGTGGGCACTCAAGGCAAATTCTCTCCTACCCATAATCCCCTGCAGAGAGATGGAAGCCGCTCCTTCCCTTCTCCTTATTAATAAGGGTCCATCGCCCAGAGCCCAGGAGGCCTGGGTACCTGAGGAAACTGTGCCAGGGGAGAGTGGAACAGCCAAAATCTGGCATTGTTTAATTTTAGAGTCCCCAGGGAGAGAAGAGCTGTGGGGCTACTGGTTCCTCATGCCAGCTCCTTTCTCTCCAAATTGTCCTTCCTGCCCCTCCCCCACTCACTCCGCCACACAGAGGTGCTCTGAGCCCCTCTACTATCTCTCCCTTGATTCATTTCATGAATCCTGTTTATTTTTGTTCATAAGGTGGGATATTTTATTCCTGGGAAAAGGAGTCAGAGCCATAGATAAGGTGACTTGAGTGAAATGAGCCCCCAGATGAGAGAGTTCAGGGCCTGGGCTGGCAAGGAGGGAAGGAGGCCTCACCATAGAAGGCCTACAGTAAAGGAGGGGAAGGCGGGAGGTCTGAGTTCGAGTCTGTGCAGCCAACTTCCTGAGAGCCCAGGAGGCAGCTGGACGGTGAGGGAGGAGGTCTGTCCCCGGTTCTCAGCCTTACCGTCATCTCTTCTCTGCCCACTCTCACCTGGGGATTTATGGCCAAGCTGGTGACAGAATTCATGGTTGCTCACATCATAGGAAGGGAGCAGTGCTCCTTTGGGGGAGTTGGGAGGTGGAAAGGGTCTCCAGAGCCTTCCACAGAATTTTCACCTGTACTTACCTATCATCTGTGCCCTGGGGAATACTGACTCCGCTGCCCACTGGACACACCACCAGCAGGTATGGGGTTAAGGGAGGCTCCCCAGAGGGAGCCCAAGGACAGAAGACCCCAAGGCTGCAGCTCTGCCCAGAGGCCCCATCTGAGGGATTCTGGTGGACTCTTGGCCTGGACCAACCCACCTCTCCCTCTCTCCCTCCCTCTCCGTCTTGCCTTTCTTATAATATAGTGAAAAGAGCCCTGGACTTCTTTACCATTGTGTCTACAAGTTGTATGAGGATCTCAGGATAAGATACTCTAAGCCCCCTTCCAGTTCTGAAATTCTGTGTTCCTCTGCTGCTTAGGATTGAGTTCACGTCTAAGTTCCTCCCTTTTCAGACAACTACAGACCACAAAGTATGAACTTACTCACTGGGATCTGTTGGATCCCAAAGAGTGGCATTTTTCCAAGAACCTGATCTATTGCCAGTCAGAAGTTTACACGTTGGGAGAAGCTGATTCCACAGTTCCTTTTCCTGCTGGATCAAAGCAACATGAGATAGTCAACATTTGGAGACTGAATTAGAAATGAATAAATAAATGGTCCTTGCTAATGGGGAGCCAGCAAAATTTGGAAAAATCCTAAAGTCCTTTCTCCTTGGTCCTAGCATGTGTCACAGGATTGTTTTGCACAGTGTCAAGCACACTCTCTGTCTTGGGTCATCTCCCCTGTCGCAGTACCTAATCTCAGACTCCTCTGGGCTCCCATAGCTTTTCCTCAGAATCTACCTTATCACTGTGTACCCAGCATCAGCGTTCCTTATGGCCTCCTTTGTCTCCTCCTTCTTGACCGTAAGTTCCTTGAGGGCGAATTTCCTGTTGTATTCCTCATTGTAACCCCTGCAGAGTCTAGCACAGAGGAGTGGCAATAAGAGCACATCACCATTACTAAGCCCTTTCTGGTTTACAAAATGCTCCCAAATACCCTCTACTGGGGAGCTCCCAGGGCAAGGTTGGTAGTAAGGATTATCCCCGTTCACAAATGAGAAGAACTGATGTTCAGAGGTTGGCCTGGTGGTGTAATTGTTGGGTTTACATGCTCCACTTTGGTATCCCAGGATTCACTGGTTTGGATCCCAGGCATGGACCTACACGCTGCTCATCAAGCCATGCTGTGGCAGCGGCCCACATGCAGAGTAGAGAAGGATTGGCACAGATGTTAGCTCAGGGACATACTTCCTCACCAAAAAAAAAAAAAGAAAACTGAGGTTCAGGGAGATTATGTGACTTGATCACAATCAGGCACCAGTGAATTAGAGATGCGTCTCACACAATCATTTTCTGCCTCAATTCCAGTACTTTCTGATCATTTCTTTTTCATAAATGGATGAATGAATGAATGAATGATCTAAAGAACCAAGGAAGTCATGTAAAGCAAGGTGATGTCAGGATACTAGGTAAGCTAAAAAGTGGAGAAGACACACTCAGTTCACCCAGATTCCAAGTATCCATCAAGGTCAAAGTCTTTGGGAAACGGGAAAGGGGTATGGGGACTGCTGCCTCTACTCCTGTGGGACCGTGTTCCCTAATCCCATTTCCCTCCCGCAGATCTTGACGGTGTCTGGACCACCCGAAGGAGGGACTCGAGTGACCATCCATGGTGTGAACCTGGGTCTGGACTTCTCCGAGATTGCCCACCACGTGCAGGTGGCTGGGGTACCCTGCACACCCCTGCCAGGGGATTACATCATCGCTGAGCAGTGAGTCCAGTCCACTCCCATGGGAGATCAGGGTGGGGACTCTCCCTCTCCCTTCTCTGGGGCTCCTCCAGGATTCATCTCCCGTCTCCATCCTCCCAAGGTCCTTGCCCCCAGAAGCCTTCCCAGGGCCACCTCCTATCCCATCTGTACTCTCAGAGGGTCGTATTCTGTTCCAGTCTGGTTCCCTGCCTCCTCTGGCATCAGGGCTCCCCAAGTAACGCTGCCCGTCATTCAGCCTTCGCCTGCCCGCCGATGTGACGGAGCCACTTTCCCAGCCAGCCCGGGCCGCTCCCCCACCAGCCCCCATTGGAATGCATCCTGCACGGTGGGCTGCGGGCAACAATTTGTTTGGCTCATGGGGCTCTGACAGCAGCTTAATCCAAGCAGGGCCTCCGCCGGAGCAAATTCATTTATTTCACTAAGGGAAATGTCAGCTGGAAATTAGAAAATAGGCATGTAGTGGCAGACAGGCGAACGGGGCTCCAGGAGTGACATATGTTCCATTTTGGGGTGTTCGTTTGGCAGTGGCGGCCGCTGTGGAGTTGGTGGGCAGGAGTCGGGCACAAAGCTGGGGGTAGGAGGGTAGAAGGAGGGATGCTTCTCCTCCAAAGAAGAAAAAGAGGGGAGCTGCCAGATCATTCTGCATGATTTCTCATGTAAAGTCAGGTTAAGTCACCTTGATTGCACTGAGAACATAGCTTTGCAAGGGGGTCTAGGAGCCTGACCAAGCGCACAACTTAGAGGAGGAGCTTCTCCTCCTGAGCTCCACCCCCTGCAGCCTGGCCTTCCCTTTCACCTCCCCAGGGCCAGCATTTAGTCGGAACCATAGAAATGGCATCACTTTATCTGTTATCAGCACTTGCACTTTCTCATCATTATCTCCTTTTTAATTGGTGAGGACTCTGAGAGGTATTGTTATCACCATTTTACCAACCAGGAGAGAGCACAAAATTCAGAGAAATGAAATGACATCTCCAGTTCACTCAGTGCAGAAGTGGCCAAGACAGATTTAGAACTTAAGTCTCCTGACTCTTTGTCCAGGCCTCTTTCCAGCAATGGGGCAAGATTCCTGGGTAAGAGTGGCCTGAAAATTCCATGATTCATCAGCATGTGGTTTCAAGGATCAGGGGCCGTGATTCCATTGTGGCCCAAAGCAGAGTCAGACTCAGGAGGGTGAATTCCCAGACTTTGAGGGCTAGTGTGATAGCTGCTAGTCTCAGCAAGAGAGAAGAAGGAGCTGACCTGGTCCTTTGGACCTGATCCTTCACTGACAGCCTCATCCCTGCCAGGAGTGAATCTTGGAAGAAACACTGGCTGGGTCTACAGGAAAGAGATGAGGGGCGGGGCTGGGGAGAAAGGACATAAGTAGCACTTCTGAGCCAGAGGAGGAGGGAAATGCTGTTGGGACCAGAACCAGGACAGCCTGCAGAGGTCCTCACAGTCAGATGGTCTGCACAGAGCCCAGCTCCCTGCCAGACTGGGCCAGACACTCAGTCTCACTGACCCCAAATCCACCTTGGCCTCAAGGACCTGCCTTGGGCCTCTAGACACAGGCCAAGTGTCCAACTTGGTAAGATACCACAGAACTCCAAAGAAAAGGGTTTGGGGGGACCAAGGGGTAAGACTTTGAGCTTAGAAGTGCAAACTCTTGGGCAGCTGCACATGGAAATCTCATAAGATTCGAAATTAAAAGGTGTTCTAAGTGCTGGCTCCTCTACTGACCAGCCCTGAAACCCTTGCAGACTGTTTGGGGTCTCAGACCCTCATCATCCTAATGGAAATCATGACTCCTACTGCACAGCTTTTGGGGGAGAATGCAGTAAGATGAGAAAATGGAGTCTGTAACATACCATATAAATGTAAGGAAATACAGTTCTTTCTTTGACATCAAAAGCACTACATTCACCCAGGGCCCCGGGGAAGAAAGTGCCGAGAGAGAAACCAGAAGTAAGGATGTGAAAGGAGCCTGAGGAGGTGAATGGTCACCAGGGGTCCCTGCCAAGACTGGTGTTCACCTCAGAAAACTGCCACTGTCGTCTCCTCGGGCAGGAAGTGGTTCACACACTCCGTAGCTCCGCTGGATGCAGCCCTGGTTTCCAGCCGCGCCTGCCTCATTACTGCTCTCGAGGTTTCAGAGTTTGTTAACATCATTAAAGCCTCCATCCCGGGCAGTGAGCAGCAGGCACAATCGTTACAGATGTCTGCGAGAGATGAATTTGGCTAAACAGGCCTAGTGCAGAGTCCCAGGCGCGGGCAGGATTAGCGGGCACAGTAATGACTCACCATATGCTTGTGCCGTGCCATCTATCACTCGGCAATTAGGTTAATGTTGGTTAAAGGACCCCGCTTAGTCCTGCAGTCAGCACCCCACAGGTCTGTGGAAGGCTGGATGATTCCATCACAGGACGTTTTCCAGACAATGGGACACAGGTTGAGGCTGCAGCTCAGCCCCTCCTGGGACAGGGGCTCTGTGTAAGATGGACTCAGTTTGGGTCTTCGGACCCCCTCCCTCTCATCTTCTGCACCTGTGAACTCAGCCATGGCTGGAGGGAATTTAGATGCATGTGCTCCCCACCCCAGGGGTGCGCACTCATGGGGAGAAAGGCACCATCTATGCCAGTCTACAGGAGGTGGTGCAGTGTGGGGGCGAAGGCACTGGGCTGGTGCCAGGAGCTCAGCTGTTGATGAGCGAGGTGACTTTGGGCAAGTCACTTTGCTCCCTGAACCTCAAATATTTCATCAAATACGTTCATGGAACATACAGCCTGGAAAATGGGTGTATAGAAATAGATGATCTCTACCATCATTTCTATGGTCCACAGAATGTCAAAAGCAGTAAATTGTATGCCCTATGGAATCTGCAACTCCCACCATTAGAAAGCTTATCGGTGACACCAATGTGTCTCCAGAAGCTTCCTGTCAACCAGGAGGAGTCAAACCTTCAAATGTTGAAGCTAAATAACTGTTGGACGGTTATTTAGTCCAACTCCTCATTTTACAAGGAGGAAATTTAGGCATGCCCAGCTATTGTCTCCTAATAATACCAGGAGGGCCGGCCCGGTGGCGCAGCAGTTAAGTGCACGTGTTCTGCTTTGGCAGCCCAGGGTTTGCCAGTTCGGGTCCCGGGTGCAGACATGGCACCACTTGTCAAGCCATGCTGTGGTAGGCATCCCACATGTAAAGTAGAGGAAGATGGGCACGGATGTTAGCTCAGGGAAAGAGGAGGATTGGCAGGAGTTAGTTCAGAGCTAACCTTCCTCAAAAAAAAAAATAATAGTAATAATACCAGGGAGCCTAGAGCCACCAGGGACACTGGGAGGTGGCAGGGAATGCAGGTGGTCCCCAGAAATCAAAGCACAGGAACTGTGCTGACTTGTAAGGCCTGAAGGAGGAAGTGATGCACACACTACTGCTTATGGGCATCTATAACCAGGAAGGTAGAGGGCACAGGTGGTTAGTTCTCAGAGCCTTAGGGACCCAGCCAGGTCTTTCCTACCCCCTTGTCCCCTCCAGGCCTACCAACAACCTCAACTCTACCCCAGCATTACTGCCATGTCCACCCTGTGCCTTCCCCAAAAAACATACAGAGCATTCTGTTAATTCTAGAAGCGGCAGAGTGGAGTGGTCAAAGGGATGAGCTTTGGAGTCAGGCTGACCCGGATTTGAATCATGGTTCTGCCACTTTACCGAACTGTGGCTGTAGATAAGCCAGTTTGCATCTCTGAGCCTGTTTCGTTATCTATAAAATGGAGATAATAGACCCACCCTGTAGGAGAGCCTGAGGATGACACGAGATCTCGTCTTGTACAGTGCTTGCCACCATCACAGCTCAGTAAATTGTCACTCTTATTGTTATTTATTATTAAGGTGCAGAATCTGCTTTGGCCTCACCCTCTTTCCTCTTTCCGCTCGCTGCAGCTGCCCTGGCTTCTTCCTTTAACTCCTCATCTCCCTGAGCTCAGAGAACAAATGCCTACAACACATACCCCCAAGGATGCCTTTCCGTCCTTCCCAGCAAGCACTGGGTCCCAGGAATGAAAAGGAAGACGAGTCAGAGGTCATTGGTGTTCTACACCACTCCTGATTCCTTAGGACTCTCACCCACTTCCTAGACCTGCCAACCCAGACGCTTTTCTACAATCCACTGCTGACCACAGCCCCTCTCCCCACATGCTCGATGAAGGAGAACCTCGTTCCACAGGTGGAGAGAGGGGTCAGTTGCATTCCGAGGAAGGGAACCCATGGTCCAGCTCTGGGCCCTCACTGCTGCCCAGCCCCTGGTCCCCAGCATCATGCCCTCCAGGCGGGACATTCAGAGCCAGCTGCAGGCACTCAGCCTTGGACACGTGGGCAGCATCCATCTCCCATCCATCCCTCTTCTCCCAGGTGCTTGATGTGTAAAACTTATCTTTTGGGACATGGACCCTGAGCAAGAAAACGTTCCAGAAAAAAGAACGTGTCAAGAGGCCACAGCCCATTGTTAACTCCCTCCCGGGACAGCTGAACAGACCATTCTAGGCCCTCCCCTCTCCTAGAGAGGCCCTGGGGCCCAGGGAGGAACAGACATGCCCATGACCTTAGCATGTTCTCGTATTTCCTCTTTGCATGGCTCAAGCCTGCCGTGATTTCTGCTTCCCTTTCTTCTCCAGGATCGCTCCAGCAGAGGGACCGAGGTGGGCAGGTGAGGGACAGGAAAGCCCCGACTAGAAGAGAGGGAAAGAGACTCCTCTGCTCCCTTCTCATCTTGTTCTTCTCTCCCACCACTGCTTCTCCTCTGAAGCTCCCTGAGATTGCAGGACATGGTTTGCAGGATGGCGGGGACCCCAAACAGGCAGGCGCTAGGGCCCAGGAAACAGGACGAGAGAGTTGTTACTCCAAGCCAGCAGCAGCAGGGAAATAACCACACACAGCACCTTAAATTAAGCTGCTCAAATACTCCGCTAATGAGGTTTAAGGAGACAGTTACGTGTAAAATACTAATTGATCCTCACTATCATCTTTACTCTGGGTTCATAATTTATTTATTTATTCATAGAGAAAGGGAAGGGAGAATATCCTTCTATGTGCATTCAGTACTTTCCTGTTGAATCTAATATGCTAAACGTAATAAGACAGTTATTGCATGTTAAGTAAATATTCACCGGGAGTGAAAGTACTTATTTGGGATTAACTGTTACGAAGGAGATGGAGCTCAGTGGCGTGCCGCGTTGTGTGAGCATGCGATGTATTTGTTTAATGTAAGTTTTATTACATCGAAATGAAATCTCTGTTTAGTTACCTTCCTTCCTAGAGAAAATGTTGAGATAAGCATCGCTCGGTTAAACACAGATCTTTCCCACCGTGCCAGGATAATGCTGAGGATTAGTGTAGAGGGGTCTGTTTTTCTGACTCCCCACTATGCAAGCTTACCAGGGGCACCAGACCGCTCTGAACTCTTAAATGGTGTTGGGAGGAAAGGAAAATCCTTTGCTCTGTCCCTGGTTCCTTTTTGCTGAGCCTGGTGGGGCCCTTTCCCACCCACCCCCTGCCTTATAATTCCAGGCAAGAGGTACCCCGAAGAACCTGATTTCTTCAGTCCCTCCCATATCCTCTGGCTGCCCACCCTTTCTAGAAGGCTGCTGTGGCTAAGGCAGCCAGTCTCTACATGTGCTTGTTGTAACTTATCTCAGGCACCAGGGAAGTCATCACTGGGGCTATTGATCTGCACTTCGTGAGTGAGAATGCCGCAGCCCTCTCCCCTCCAGCTCTCCCGTTAATGTGAGACGTGACTTCCAACCCCAGGGCTGGTTCGCTGTCTCGCCCACTAGCTCAGTGCCCTCAGTCCTTGATTAAGTGGGAGTCCAGTGTCGACTGCTGTCCTAATGAACTCATCCACCTCCCACCCCGTCGCCTACTGCCTCAGGATGGACGCCGCTCCTCCGTTGTGCTGGCAGCTCCTGTTTTGGGCTCTTGCTATCTCGCCAGATTATCTATTCCCTTTTTAAGACTCACTGCAGGAAACAAACCACAATTGAATCGGTTTGGCAAATAGGCCTTCACTCCCTCTTTTAGGGAGAGTTTCCGTGTTGGCTTGCCACACAGGAAAGAACGCTAAATTACTTCCCTAGTCTCTGTTAGACAACAGGTTTATTCCACAAATACTGGGTAGCTACCCCATGCTAGGCGCTGCATGAGGCAGTGGGGACTACAGGCTTATTCAGAGAATTAGGCAGCGTAGTATTTCGGAGGCACCCAGCGCTTCAGAACTGATCTTGTCCAGCTTCTCACTGTACTGATGAGAGACTGAAGCCCAGAGAGGGAAATCACTTTACCCAAGGTCACACAGCTGGATGTGAGCAAGCTGGGTCACAGTCCAGCACTATTGCAAGACTAGGATGTGTCATTCACTGTGACCGGGTGAGCAAGCGGGGGCAGGGATGCCAGCTCTTGCCAAGCCTCTCACAGGAAGGTTTGCTCTCTCCTTAGGATCGTCTGTGAGATGGGCCATGCCCTCGTGGGAACCACCTCGGGGCCTGTGCGCCTGTGCATTGGCGAGTGTAAGCCCGAGTTCATGACAAAGTCCCATCAGCAGTACACCTTTGTGGTGAGTATGGGGTCCAGCCTCCGGCTACAGGCTCTCAGCAAGGGCACACTTCTCATGCAGCCTTCTCCCGGGATGCTCCCACACTCCCCCTCCCAAGCCAGGCACCTCCAGGCTTCTCGCAGACTCAGCCGAGTAGGAGACCAGAAACAGGAACTTCTGGCTTCCTTCTTTGCAAGCCCGTCTTTCTCGGGTGGAGTGGGTTTGTGACTGACAAAGCTGTGAGGACTTTGACATCGCAGAGAGCCACAGGTCAGAATTCTAAATAAGGCAAAATCAGGCCTTTCTTAGAAAGTGGGTCCTAGACGCAGGGTGGGGAGGGGCTGCCCTTTGTCCTGCCAGTGTGATATCTTAGTCTAATTCCAGCCTAATGAGGACAGATCGCCTGAGGGACCTAATTAAAAAGGTCTATATTTATCCACATGCTTTGTTTTCTGCAAAGAATATTGTAAGTGGAAGGCTAGAGGAATCACTTGAAATCCTGTAGGGACATGTGTCTATGCACAGGACCTCAGGAGTGGGGTGTACAGGGAGCTGCTCTGTGTGTTGTTGTGGTTACACCCACATGTGCATGTACTCACACTGAAAACATCTCTTCACACTCAGGCAACAGGTAGTGGAATCACGAAAGCTTTCTTTAAGGCTGGCACCGTCTTCCTGCTCAATCAATAACTTGCTTCTGGGGCCCTGGAGTCCGCTGGGGCTATATTTTTACTGAATCAATCACTTGCTTCTGGGGCCTTGGAGTCCCTTTTCTGACACTTGCCTATGCCGTCACCTTGAGTTCTTCGTTAAAAAGTGTTAACATCATGGATGGGGTCAAACCAGCCTTGCTAAGAGTTTTTGAAAAAATCATTAGGCTACAAAATTCTATTCTCTCTCAAGCATTTTGCTGCTTGTTTTAGGTTTTCCAGTCTCTGCCTTCTTAGCTCAGCATCTCCGCCTTTTTCTTGCACTAGTCTTCTCTCTCGGATTGGGGAGTACCGCAGTCTGCCTGCAGCCACCCACCCATCTCCTACACAGGACCGATGGAGTCTTGTGTGAGAAACAACTACAGAAGGACTAGATGGAGAGAGAACTGTAGAATGTCAGAGCTGGAAGGGGCCTTAGAGATAATTTAGCCCACCCTTCTCACTTGACAGAGGAGCAAACAAAAGCCTGGAGTGATCGAGAAACTAGTGAGTGGCTAACGGGGACCGGAATTCATGCCTATGTAGTTGCTCAGTTAAATGCACTTTCTACGCCACTCTGCTGCCCTCCAGGCAGAAACAGTTCCTTTCTGAGTGAGGTCAGCTGCCTGATGCATTTTAGGCCAGACATTTCTTTTAAGCTTAGGCTTAATTTTACAATTCAGTGAGCTCACTAGAAAGTCCCAGCCAACCATGGGCCATCCTCCTGATGAAGGTTGGGGAAGCTATGTCTAACATTTACAGACAGCTCTCTGCACCAGGCACCATGCCATGCCCTTCACATGCTTAGGGAGGGACTGAAGGACATGCGATGGATCGTTAATGGAGGACTTAGCCTCTTGGTGGCCCAGTCCAGGCAGGGATGCTTAATTCAGCCCTATCGATTTTGTGCCAAAAAAATCAGTACAGGCTCTAGATAGAGAAGCATTTTCAAATTGTTCTCAATTTGTAAACTAATTGATAGATTAGTCAGTGTCACCTCTGCCTCCCCATCAGTGTTATGAGCATGAGACTCCCCGGGGAGTTAATTAATTCCAAAACGTGGCCCTTCTGCCTTCCCCAGAAATGCCCGGAGCCTCTTCTTAGAAAAAGTCTCAGCCACAGGGTAGGCAGAGGGAGTGCTTGGGATTAGAAAGAAGAGGAAAAGAACCTCCACTCCAAGCAAGGCCACCGTCCCTCCTTCTGTCCTTAAGTCTACCATAGATCTGTCCCTTTGGGCAAAACCTGAGCTGTGATCATTTCTCTACTTCCTCCCAAAGAACCCTTCTGTGCTGTCACTCAACCCCATCCGAGGCCCAGAGTCGGGAGGCACCATGGTGACCATCACAGGCCATTACCTGGGGGCTGGGAGCAGCGTGGCGGTATACCTGGGCAACCAGACCTGCGAGTTCTATGGGTAAGATGGGCTCGAAGGAGCACAAGCAGATTGTACCTGTGAGGCCTATGCACACATGTTCCTGTGCGTGTTCACACATAGACCTGCCCCGTCAGCTCCATGTTATGTGCCACATCCTGGGCCCAAACACTGTTCTGGTCACTGTGAGAAATATATACCACTAGTCAATTTTTATCTCCTGTATCATGGGGGCTAGATACTTCTAGAAATAATTAGAAATGAGGCCCATGAGAACTGCTGATGAGGAAGGCTCCCAGGAGCTCTCCACTCACCATCAGGATCAAGCTCTCATTAGGTGCCCACTATGGTGACTTGAGAAACATGGAGATTGCACAGACTCTTCCTCAGGACATCTCTTGTGCATAAAAAATTGACCACTGACTGTGTCAGATACTCGGATGAAGCCCTGGGGAGGTAGAGAATCCTGAGAGAAATCTGAAAGAATCCATGGATGAGAACCCAGCTTGCAGAGTATTGGCTGGTGATCTCCTCCTCGGACCATAAACTCCCTAAGGGCAAGGATTGTGTGTTCACTTCTCTGCATAGTGGGTGCTCAATGATATTTATTAACTGACTGACCAGACTTTAAGCACTGGCTAAATAGCCATCTTCTAAAAAATCCCAAAAGAGTTCCCATGGAGCACTGCCCTGCCCCACATTCTCTAATCCCCTTGTGCAATTTGCTCCGTAATCCAACCTGAGTTGGATCTCAAGTTAAAAGAGGCACTGATCAACCCTGATGAGGGACATGAGTGTAAAGGATGGAGGAACACTTCCTGGGTCACGCCCTCAGACAGAGGAAAACCCCTTTTCAAGCCAGAGGGCGCCCCCTATTGCCCGTGCCTTTCTTCACAACCCTCCTGCTGTCTCCCTGTCAGGCGGTCAATGAATGAGATTGTGTGCGTCTCGCCCCCGTCGTCCAACGGCCTGGGCCCAGTCCCCGTTTCTGTGAGCGTCGACCGGGCCCGTGTGGATAACAACCTGCAGTTCGAGTACATCGATGACCCCCGGGTGCAGCGCATCGAGCCAGAGTGGAGCATTGCCAGGTGAGGTGGAGGGTAGGAGGACTGCACCCGGCTGCCACGTGGCATAGTCCCTTCATCCCTCTGCGAGGACCGCAGGGCTTGAGGTGGTAGCATTTGAGAGGGTCTTTACCTAACCCAGCCTCTGCTTGTTCCCAGTGGCCACACACCCCTGACCATCACAGGCTTCAACCTGGATGTCATTCAGGAGCCAAGGATCCGAGTCAAGTTTAATGGCAAAGAATCTGTCAACGTGAGTAACCACTGGTCCATCTGGCCCTCAGTAAACACAGCTGTGTGTCTGTGTTTGGCAATGTCATGAGCTCCGTCTCAGGTGCTGGAGCCTCTGACTACCAGAGTAGAAAGTTGGCTCAAGACTCTGAGCCCGAATCGTGGCTCCAAACACCTGAACCTTACAATGGTTTTTATAATTACAGTATAATCATTTCTTGTCAGGAGGTGATATGATGAGTGTATGAAGGTACTGGCTTCTGAGCTTAAGATACAGAGGAAAAGGGCCCTGTTTTATGCCATGTTCACTTTGAGGTCTGACGTGTGGGAGGGTGAAGAAATTCTGGCTCCAAATTCAGACGTTTCTGATTAGAAGCAGGATACTGCCATCTATTAGCGGTACAACCATGATCAAGTCATTTAACCTCTCTGAGCCTCCATTCCGTGGCTATAAATGGTGATGATAAGATTCACCTCGCAGATCTGTACCATGCAGCAGTTGGCTGGCACTAAGAGTGGCACTTGATAAACGTTAGTCCCTGCGAGCAGATAATTCCATCCCGGTTGCTAAGATGATCAGGTTGAACATTTTACTGTACTCCTCTATGCAGAGCCAAGTAATTTTTTTTCATTATGGATTTTTGTGATTTTAAAGAAGTTCTCGATCCTAAGAGCACAATGTTTGATCTATTGTTATAAATCTTTTGGTTTGTTCTAGTGGCTCCATCTCACTTTTTCCAGCCAATATTTTCTGAAACATTTTTGTATTCGTAATTATAGTCCAGGAGATGCTCTTATGGTTATTATTTTTCATGCAAATTACTGTTATTAGTGCTTTGACCTTCAGGGGATTGACGAGGCTGAGAGGGAGATGGGAAGATGGCGTTGTATCTCCCCTCTTATCCCTCACGCCTTCCCAGCATGCTTGAGGCTTCCTTAGGAAACAGAAATAGACAAAATGACAGTGCCAGAAGGCTGGATCTGGAAAAGTCTCAGAGGTCATCTCGTCCAACCCCCTCATTGTATAGCTGGAGAAACTTAAGGCCAGAAAGGAGTGATGACTTGTCCTTAATCATAAAGGTGGCTGGTGGCAGGGGCAAGCTAGATCCCAAACATCTGGACCCTTCATAACCAGACCACATGACATGCCAGTGGGCTTGACATCCCATCAGGCCAGAGACATGGGGGCACTTGTATCACATCTTCGGTCCCCACCATGGTCACAGCTCTTTGGACTAGAAGACCACATGCCTCCTTATGCCAAGTGTAGAGCTTGACCCATGGGTGAAAGAGCCCCTGCCCCACTCCACCTCCAGTCAAACGGGAATGGTGAGCTCACACTCAGGAGGAATACAAAAACCCCAAATTGGGTCCATGTTTTAAAATTTAAGCTTTATTATTATTCAGGTATGGCAAAGCCAACAGACCAGGAGATGCCTGCCATTGGAAAGATAGTTTGTTACTCACACATCCAAGAGAGGGGGCACACCATGTCTTGGGGGGCCACACAGGGAAGCACCACGGTGGGTTAAGAAGCAAAGGGAGAAAGAGAAACTGTGGCAAGAGCCTTTACTATGGCTTCCACAGGAAGGAGCTAGCAAGGCAAGGCGAGCAGGTTTAGGACTGGCCAAGTTGAATCATTTTAGGTGCCAGGGGCTGTCCCTTGTTGTTGGGTACCTGGCCCTGGTGTGTTTAAGGAAGGTGTGATTAGGGATCACACCTCACCCAGAGTGTGAAAGGAGGTGATTGGGGGTAATGGCACTGGATTGGTTGGTTTGCATTAGAAAAGCATGCTCTAGCTGGCAGGCAAGTTTGCTATCTCTAGGGATGGCTAACCTGGGGAGGGGCAGTCCCTCTAGGGTCAGCAAGGCCCTGGTGTCAAAGGGTCACAATACAGAAAATAAAAGTCACAGTTAATAGAGTACAGAGGGCATTTTGGAGGATGAGTACATGACTGACAAGGTCAACTTCCAAAAGCTGCAACGTTAGTTCTCAGGAAGCCATTTAAAGAATAGACAGCACTGAGAAGGCCTTCCCCATACCAGAGATCAGTCTGAGAAGGCTCAGGTCCAGGATGCATTTGTAGCCCTGGGCAGGGGTCTCTCCAGCACCTCCCCAAGCCCCGCACTGCGACCTCAGTGCTTCAAGGAGTTAAGAAGTAGTTCCTCCCTCTCGAGTGGGGGGCCCTCAGCTTCTGTGGTGGCCTGCCTGGAGTTTGCAGGCTGGCAGGCCTGGAGGAGAGGCCTGGGTGGGCAGTTTTCCCTCCAGCTGGCTCCACAGCAAGAAGCTGGTAAATTCGGCCCCATGCCTCTTTCTTCAGGAGTGGTAGGAAAGAAGCGCTTTGCCCCCTGCAGCCCTGCTTGGGCCCCATGGCGTCCTCAGCCCACTGAGGCTACCCCTTGCCTTTGGGTTTTGAAGCAACCCCAGTGAGAAGTGAGAAGGGCCAAAGCGCAGGCCGCAAAACCCAAAGGAATGTTTGGCAGACAAAGTGCCGATGCAGCACGGGGCAGGAAGCACACAGAGGCTGCTTGTTCTGGAGTGATTTGCTTATTCACACAGGAGTCCAGACCAGGGGTGCTGGAATGAGCGGGGAGCAAGACGGGGGTGCCAGTGAAGAGGCGCAATCAGGCTAGGTGGCTGCCCTGCCGAGCCCAGGACTGGAGGTTCCCTGGCTCGACTCTACCCGTTTGACGGCACTCCCAGTGTTCCTCATGCCAGCGTGTCCCCAGCTGGAACATGAAAGGGACACTAGGTTCCTAAGGAGCTGCTGAAGTGGGAGCTGCAAAGGGTAGGAATGGGAAGTGACCTCCAGTGCAGCCTGAAGCCTCGGCAAGCTGTTTTGTATACTCTTAAACTCCCTCTGGAAAGGGAGGGTTAAGACGTGGCCTTGGAGCTCTGACATAATCTCTGTGCAAGTGTCAGCTTTTTTGCGATTTCACACACAGTCTTGTTTTCTCACCATGAAGCCCATGTGTGTATGTTGGCCAGACACACAACATGTGTGGACCTGCCAGGACAGCGTGTACTTGAGCAGGCCGAGTTCTCACAGATGCCCTTGGCTGTTGCTGGGACACCGTGGCTCTCAAAGCTGAAATGGAGCCGTGCCGAGCAGGAGCCAGGAGGAGAGGGCGTAGGGGTCCAGCTTTCCTTCCCAAGGACCCACAGGGCGTCCTGTATTGGTTTCTTCAGTCCAGCTGCTGCCTTGGGCAGCCAGAGGAGAGCACGGCACAACTCATGCTCAGCAGGGGCCAGCCCAGCTGGGATTTTAGTTGGGAGACCAGGGTCCACTAGAAAGAAAGGATGTTATGAACTCAGCGTCAATCCCAAGGTTACACCCCCGTGCGAGTGAGGGGCCCTTGGTTGGAGAAGAGAGAGATGCTGAATAGGATATTTAAAGAGTTAAAGGAGAATTCTCATTCGTCTTTGTATTCGGTAAACATTAACTGAACACCTACGATTGCTGGCAGAGTGCTCATCTCACACTACTTCCTGCTCCTCACCACACACACACACACACACACACTCACACACACACGCTCACACACGCTCACGCACATCCAACACTGTTTCTGTCCTACTTCTCCGCAAACATCCCATGTTTCCTCACCCCCGGGCCTTTGCTGCTGTCCCCTCTGCCTGGGACTTTTCCCCCACCTCTCCCTCTCCTTGTCTAGGTAAGTCCTACTCATTCTTCAGCTTAAATTTCATACATTTCTTCCCTGAGTCACGCTCACCCTGCTTCAGGGCATGCACATGCACGCGCACACGCTCATGCACACACGCTTGTGCACACACGCTGACACTCCCGCAGTACCTGTACTTCCCTGCCAGGGCGCTTTCTCGCATCCATTCCTACAGTTGACAGTGCTTGTGCCCCTTCTGTGCTCCAGGCCCTCTGCCCGGACTCTATTGTACTGCTTGTTGAATCGGGGCCCCCCCCATAGACTGGGACTATTTCACTAGATAGCCCCAGCTCCTAGCACCTTGCCTCGCACAAAGCAGGCCCACAAATAGTGTTGGTGGATGAATGAATGAATGAATCAATGAATGAAGTTGAAATGAACCCCCCAAAAAACTTTGACAGCCCTTTGCCTCAAGGGATTCAGCATCTAATGAAGACAAACAAGTCACCCAAGGGTGACTGGTTAAGGCAAGTAGCGGGGAGGGGCGGCAGCGGACCCCCAACCGCCCTCGTTCAGTGTTTGAATGCTGCGCTCTGGGCCTCTCAGGTGTGTAAAGTTGTGAACACCACCACCCTAACCTGCCTGGCCCCCTCTCTGACCACGGACTACCGGCCCGGCCTGGACACTGTGGAACGGCCAGACGAGTTTGGATTCGTCTTTAACAATGTCCAGTCCTTGCTCATTTACAACGACACCAAGTTCATCTACTACCCCAACCCGACCTTTGAACTGCTCAGCCCTACAGGCGTCTTGGATCAAAAGCCGGGATCCCCCATCATTTTGAAGGTAGGCGCGTGCGGAGTGCAGCACATGCCACACGCAGTGGTGGTGAGAGCCCCCCTCCCGGGGCCCATCTTGTTGTCCTTTCTACGCACGTGGACTCGCAAAGCTGTCAGCTCCCTGTAAAGGGAGATTGTTTATAGATATTGACCCATCGAGCGGCATATCTTGCCTTGGGATTCTCAAGAAACACTTTAGAATATTTCTGTTTGTTCTTGTGAGCTTCGGAAACCAAAATTTCTGTGGCGCATTGGAAGTAACCCTTTCCCTTTATTGACAACTTCTGTGGCCGCCGTAACCTGCACGCAATTTCATGAGCTCACGGTTCCCTGTACAATCCGTCCAAGGGTTTTGCTACTCTGCCACTTTCATTTATATCCCACGTCTCCCTTGAATTTTCACTTGTTTGGGGTTCTGTCTCCCCTTCCTCTCTTTCCCACCCTCCTCCTCCCTTTCATCCTCTCCACCCTCCGTTTTGTCTTTGTCTCCCTGAATTATGGCTGTTAGAAGTCCTCTCCAAAAACTTACCGTGGAGTCATCTGTTGGTCTTTGCATGGCTGCCCGTCCCCCGTCTCCTTAATCTCTTTTAAATAGGCAATTAACTTCTGCACGCCTGTGTCAGTTACTCCTATTAAGATTGCTGTTATCTACAGGGGAAAAACCTCTGCCCTCCTGCCTCTGGAGGTGCCAAACTCAACTACACGGTGCTGGTTGGAGAGACCCCGTGCGCTGTCACTGTGTCCGAGACACAGCTCCTCTGTGAGCCTCCCAACCTCACGGGGCAGCACAAGGTCATGGTGAGTGAAGCTGCTTCTTATTACTTCCTTCCCTCCTTGCTGGGCATGCATGAGCTGTCACAAGGAAAGGCTCTCTCTTCCATCTTCTTCATGGCTCCTCATCTCCATGCCCTGCATTAAAATGGGTAGAAGTTGAGAGCGCAAGAAAAGAAAGGCAGATAATAAGCAGGAAGTTGTTCTGTATCCAAATCTGCACTGTGTGGTTGTGGTCTTGCATGTCCTTCCTGAAACGGTAAGCATTCGATAGCATGCCAGGGCTCTACAGCATCTGTGTGTGTGCAATGCACAGGTTCACGTGGGCGGGATGGTGTTCTCGCCTGGCTCGGTGAGTGTCATCTCAGACAGCTTGCTGACCCTGCCAGCCATCGTCAGCATCGCGGCAGGCGGCAGCCTCCTACTCATCATCGTCATCATCGTCCTCATTGCCTACAAGCGGAAGTCCCGGGAAAACGACCTCACTCTCAAGAGGCTCCAGATGCAGATGGACAACCTGGAGTCCCGTGTGGCCCTGGAGTGCAAGGAAGGTAAGAGGAGGCACTCCCTCACTTCCTGGACCCTCTTCCTTCACCAGCCATGTTACCTCACTCCCTACAGACAGCTCTCATCTTTACTTCCACCCCTCCTGCCCCAAGCCATTACACTCTGCTTTGATTTCTGTTTTCCTGTGAATTTCCTTTACTCTTAGGGCTAGAGAAGTCCTAATAAGGATGTCCACAGCGAGGCCCCAGACCTGATCATACTATTCTGTTCCCCCTGTGTCCTGACTCATCCCACAGACTGGCCGCCTTCTTCTCCCTCTCAGGGCCTCAGTCTCCCCACAGTCAGAGCCCTCTGGGCTCTGTTGTCTCAGACTCTAGATTCCCTAGATGGGACTGTCTGGCTCCTGGTTCTTGCATAGCCGCCCTCACCCTTGTAGCCTGTGGAAGCAGCAGCAGCAGCAGCAGGAATGGCGGGCGAGTACCTCACCCCTCTCCCACTCCATCCCCACCCCCAGGGCTTGTTTTCCATCAGTGCTGCAGGCTGAGCTCTCTGAAGGCCACCGCTTGCTGGCGTCCTTGGCCGTGGACGTGTGTGGGAGTGGAGACGTGTTTTCTTCCATCTCCCACGCAACCACAGCCGTGAGGTGACAGGTGTACCTGGCATCCCCTCGGGCTGGGGACCAGGCAGGCTGTCTGGGTAAACATCTCAATTAGGAATCAAAACATTTCTCTTTTTGCTGCAAATGTCAAGATCAGAAATAAGCCCTCTGCTGGATGAAAGGGAAGAGCTGGGCTGGGGAAAAGGGGGCACCAGGAGACAGGCCTGCCACCAAGGGGATGCTCCCCTGTCACCGAGGCCCTGATGGTCAGGGCACTCCAAGGCTGGGTTTGGTTTTGTTCTCACTTTTGTGTGTGTGTGCGCTAAAGTATACTAACGTAAAGTTTACCATTTTAACCCTCGCTGTCTCTACACCACAGGGCTCTCCCCTCCTCCAGCCCTGTGGCATTAAGGACATTCATGATATTGTGCAAACATCACCACACTCCATCTCCAGAAGTTTCTCATCTTCCCTAGCTGAAACTCTGTACCCATTAAACAATAACTCCTCATTCCCCCTTCTCTCAGCCCTTGGCAACCACCATGCTACTTTCTGTCTCTGTGAATTTGACTACTCTAAGTACCTCATATAAGAGGAATCATACATTATTTCTCCTTTTCTGTCTGGCGTATTTCACTTGGCTTAATGTCTTCAAGTGTCATTCATGTTGTAGCATGTGTCAGAATTTCATTCCTTTTTAAGGCTGAATAACATTCCATTGAATATATGTACATCATTCTGTTTATCCATCCGGCAGTGGACATTTGGGTTGTTTCCACCTTTTGGTATTGTGAGTAATGCTGCTGTGAACACGAGTGTACAAGTATCTATTCAGATCCCTGCTTTCCGTTCTTTTGGTTATATACCTAGGAGTGGAATTGTTGAGTTGCATGGTAATTCTATGTTTAATTTTTTAAGAAACCATGAAGTTGTTTTCCAGAGCGGCTGCACCAATTTACATTCCCACCAGCGATGTACGAGGGTTCCAATTTTTCCACATCCTCGCCAACACTTGTTTCCATTTTTTGGTCATAGCCATCCTAATGGGTATGAAGTGGCATCTCATGGTAGCTTTGATTTGCCTTGTCCCCTAAGGGTTTTGCCTCCTGATTTCTTCTCTTGCTTGGAAAAGGGGAGCAGAGCTGCCTGCTCTGGTCTTTGCTTGATCTCTGCGGCCACTGTCTCTCACCTACTTTCAGCACCTGCAACATCTTTACTGAATGACCCAAGTCATGATGTTCCTTTTTCTTTGTTTTAACTACACTTACAATATGTGGAAAATTCAAAATTATAGATAAGCATAGAGGAGGAGATATAGAAATCACCCATATTCCCACTACCTAAGAAAGGCAGCCTGGAGATATCTCACACCCTCTGGAGATGCACCCCTATAACCCTCCTCATCTCTATACCCCAAGCCCTCCCCTCCTCCTTCACAAACTTCTCCTCCCGCCTGTCTCCTCCCCTGCCCCAGTTCCCCTCTTGAGCCTCCCCGTCTCCACTGTACTTTCACAGCTTTTGCCGAGCTCCAGACAGACATCAATGAGCTGACCAGCGACCTGGACCGCTCAGGAATCCCCTACCTGGACTATCGTACCTATGCAATGCGAGTCCTTTTCCCTGGCATCGAGGACCATCCTGTCCTGCGGGAGCTGGAGGTAACACTGGCCTCCGGCACCAGCCGCCCAGCAGGGACGCAGGGCCTGGGTTTCCTAGGAAATGCCAGTGGGGCCCAGCAGCTCGGAGGAAGGCAGGAGTGAGGAGGAAAAATAGCTTGTAACAGCCTCAGCACAAGGGGGATATTCCTGATCTAGAAGATCAGGGCCAAGGGGGGCACCCAGGCTCTGTGGGATGATTCCAGGGGAAGGCTCATTGTTTGTCATTTTTTAATTAGTGACTGAATTAATTAACTAAGATTCTGCCTCATTCTCAAATGGATTTAAGGTGGCTTAAGGAAAGACGTATGATTCTGAGATTTGTTTGTTCGTTTGTTGGTTTGTTTTACTAAAGATAATAAATCAGGACGGAGGAGATTAAAGGGAGACTAGTAAATGGAGTGAGTCTGATGGGGCATCTCCTAGTGTGCCCTTGGGAAAATCAGATGGACAGCATCCCCTCCTAGGGCTCTGCCTGGAGCCCGACCCTCCCAACCCAGTGGAAGGTCAGAGCAGACTGTAGACTTCAGAGACCAACCATTCCTACATCATCATGGAGGAGTGGGGGATGGGGAGGGTGGTTGTAGCCATCGTGGAGAGGGTCTCAATGCCGGTATCATCACTGGCAAAGGCCCTCAGTGAGAGCCCGGGCTGGGAGGCTGGACACCCATCCTCTGAGGGTGCGCCCATCACACCCACCCAGGTGCAGGGCAATGGGCAGCAGCACGTGGAGAAGGCCCTGAAGCTCTTTGCCCAGCTCATCAACAACAAGGTGTTCCTGCTGACCTTCATCCGCACCCTGGAGCTCCAGCGCAGCTTCTCCATGCGCGACCGCGGCAACGTGGCCTCGCTCATCATGACCGGCCTGCAGGGCCGCCTGGAGTACGCCACTGACGTCCTCAAGCAGCTGCTCTCTGACCTCATTGATAAGAACCTGGAGAACAAGAACCACCCCAAGCTGCTTCTCCGGAGGTCTGACCCATGGCCAGGGGTGGGGCAGGAAGTGGGCATCTGAACAGGGACATGGGGCCTCATTAGAGGAGGTCCCTAAGCAGCATGAGAGGGTGCCCCTCCCCAGAAAGGCCCATGTCTGCATGTCCCATAGTATAGAGTCTGATCTTCTTTCAGCCCAGGAGGCTGTGCAAGGTCTGCAGCTTCTAAGCCTGATGGAGGAACACAGTCCTCGGCTTGAACCCCAGCTCTGCCATATGCTAGTTGTGTGATCTTGGACCAGTGATGTGACCTCTCTGCTGTTTAGTGTCTCCATGGGAAGAATGACACTAATAACACCTGTCTCGCAGTCTCCCTCCCTCCCCATGCTTCTAGAGCTGGGCCGTCCAACAGGGTAGCCACATGTGGCTACTAAGTAAAATAAAATAAAATGGCAAATTCAGTTCCTCCATCGCACTAGCCACATTCCAAGTGCTCAGGTGCCACATATTGGCCGCCATGTTGGACAGCACAGATAGGGAGCAAGTCCATCATCACAGGAGGTCCTGTTGGACAGCGCCAGACTAGCGATTTGGTGCAGCCTGTCCCTTCAGCATCCAGCTTCCTGGATCTGAATCACCAGCATCCACCACATGCCCCCTCCCCTACTGCCATTTTCCTGGCAGGAGAGAGGGTTGGAGACCTTGGCATCCATCCCCTGAGCCCACCGTCTCTGGAGGCCCCGGGAAGCTGAGCACAGCTTTGGAGCTCCTCAGGCAGCAGAGCCTGGAATACGCCATCTCCGTTTCACTGCCTCCTCTTTAGCCTTCTCTGAGCAAGGTCTCAGGCTTCCAGGTCCCACGTGGGGTGAGGAAGGAGAAGGAACGGCTTTGTTTTCTGAGTGCTGAGCCCCCATCCTGCGATCTGAGCATTAGAAACTCTCATTAAGAACTGTTGTATTTAAATTGGAGCTAATCTCAGGCACAATGCAGGGAGAGGGTGCTGGGAGGGGCCCGGGGAGAAAGCTACAATTTCTTCTGCCATTGTCACTCTCTCCCAGGCCCAGATTGCTGAGCCACCCTGGCAAATGCCTGGGATTTACTGCAACCAGAGGGTATAATTTGCACCACGTGCAGGGAGTTAAAACACCCCTCCAGCATCCCCATCACTGAGGGTCTGTCACAGCCGCTTTGTTCCTTCCCAAATCCCCAGATCTGCAGCCCAGGTTGGGGGGTGGGGGAGGGGCGGTGCTTGCAGAAGCCGATCCCCTGTCAGCTAAACACTTCCCCACACTGCTCTCTACCTGAGGGGCTGGGATCCATGACCCCACATGACAGCAGTGATGACGGCTATTGGGTACCAGGCGCTATTCTTAGCACTGTACGTATATTAGTATATTAACTCATTCAACCCTGACAACAGCTCTGTGGGATAGATATTATTATTATTATTGTCCCCACTGAGAGATGGGGAAACTGAACTCACAGGAGGAGAAACGACTTGCCCAGGGTCACACCACCCGTACATGGCAGAGCCAGGATTGAACTCAGGCAGTCCGACTGTGGATGTTTGGAAGGGCAGGTACCAGGGACCTGCTGGACATGCAAAATAGAATATTCAGGCATGCAAGAAATCCCAGAAGGGCAGAGAAACTTGGTTTATCACCTTAAAGCCAGAAGGGAGTGGGGAGATGTGGTTCTTTACAGCTCTGTGGGATGGATGCTCAGCATCTGGTTTTTGTTTTTGTTTTTTTTTTTTTTGTGCTGAGGAAAATTAGCCCTGAGCTAAGATAGACTGAGACCCAGAAAGAGGCCTCTGGCTGAGGGTCACACTTCCAGCTACTGGCAGAGTTGGGCTAGGACTCAGGCATCCTGGCTTCCAGCCCTGTGTTCTTTCATGCCTTGTCTCTTGGGTCATGACCCACACAACAAGCCAGGCCCCTCTCTTGGACCCCTCGGTAAAGGACTGCCCCTCGTCCCTTCTGCCTCCCCAGGACGGAGTCTGTGGCTGAGAAGATGCTGACCAATTGGTTTGCCTTCCTCCTGCACAAGTTCCTGAAGGTGAGAGTGGGAGTGAGATGAGTGCCAGGAGTTGAGGGCAAGATGGGAGGGCTGCATGGGGACCCCCCTCAGGAACAGGAAGCTACCTGGCCAGGGTGCTCCAAAGCAAAGCAGGCCCAGGAGCAAGGTCAGGAGAGGGAAGGAAGGAGCCTGGTGCCGCCACATGCCCCACGCCCTGCCTGTGCCCACAGGAGTGTGCGGGGGAGCCGCTCTTCATGCTGTACTGTGCCATCAAGCAGCAGATGGAGAAAGGCCCCATCGACGCCATCACGGGCGAGGCCCGCTACTCCCTGAGCGAGGACAAGCTCATCCGGCAGCAGATTGAGTACAAGACCCTGGTGAGGAGGCTGAAAGCTCGGGGGACAGTGCAGATCTCCTGCCTCTGATGCGTACTCTGCTCTCTGAGCACAAAGCCGGTCTGAGGGGTCCATAGAGAGGCTGGGAGAACAGTGTGGGGGCAGGTCCAAGGGGTGTGGTAAGTGTGCCAAGGGCAGGTAGACACACCTAAGTTCCCCCCCCCCCGACGCCATCTCATTTGAGGGGGCCCAAAGAGTTCTCTCTGCCTCAGTTTACCGTAGATAATATTGAGGGGAAAAGAAAGATCACCTACCATTAGGTATGAGAAAATTAGTATTATGGGGAAAAATGTGAGTCTGCTGATTCCTAATATAGAGCCTTAGAGGAAGTGGGAGGCCAGCCCTTGATACACATGGAACCATCCTGAAACCCCTACAGTGCCTCATTCTAGGATGAGACCCTCCCTAAGCCATCCATGAGCTCAAAAGTAGAGTCCTGGTTCTTTGAGAAAGAAGAGGTGGGCATAATAACTCACGATGTCATTTGGCAGATGGCAGGAAGGTGAGAGAAACTGAGGCATGGAGAGCCACCCCTAGATCCCCTGTAAGGAGGGTGAGCCTTGGAAAGAAAAGATTTGAGGCCCCACTCCCTCTCCTTCAAACTACTCCTTCAACTCCTGTTGTCACCTGTAGATCCTGAACTGTGTCAACCCCGACAACGAGAACAGTCCAGAGATCCCAGTGAAGGTGTTAAACTGTGACACCATCACGCAAGTCAAGGAGAAGATCCTCGATGCTGTCTACAAGAACGTGCCCTACTCCCAGCGGCCGAGGGCCGTTGACATGGACTTGGGTAGGAGGCCTGGCCTTGGAGTGTGGGGGCACCGGGTGGACGAGCAGCTTCCAGGGGGGCATTCTGGCTGTGGGATGGATGGGAAGATGGGAAGCCCTGCCCTGCATACGCCCCTCCGGGGGGCGTGACTGGGTCCTACCCAGGTGAGGAGCCACAGGAAATACTTCTCCCAGGGCACTGCCTCCTCAGATGTGGCCACCTCTGGTGAGGCCCACGCTTCTCCCCAGCTACCTTGACCCCGTGGAGCCCCAGATATCTTAAGCGCTATCATTGCACCAGCTGGAGGAAGCTGGGGTTACCAGGTCCCTAGAGGAGGCACGACAGGGTGATCCTGGCTCACAGCCCCCAGCCCTCACAATGCTACCTGTACCACTTCCTCCACCCAGAGTGGCGTCAAGGCCGGATCGCCCGGGTTGTGCTGCAAGACGAGGACATCACCACCAAGATCGAGGGCGACTGGAAGCGGCTCAACACTCTGATGCATTATCAGGTGAGGGTGGGGCCTCTCCATTTGGGCAGGGGCTTTGCGTTTGGGATCTTTGACCTCCCAGAATGACCCCTTCCCTCCCATGTTTGCTCTAAGGCCCTCAAATGCCTTAATGGGGTTTTCTTATCTCGCCTTTCCTCCTCTTCCCTGAGCCTAGAACAGTGATTCTTAGCCACAGCTGCCAATTAGAATTACCCAGTGTATTCATCAAAAACAGGAGTGGGGCCAGGTCAGTAGCACAGCGGTTAAGTTCACACGTTCCACTTCGGCGGCCCAGGGTTCACTGGTTCGGATCCCGGGTGCAGACATGGCACCGCTTGGCAAGCCATGCTGTGGTAGGCGTCCCACATATAAAGTAGAGGAAGATGGGCACAGATGTTAGCTCAGAGCCAGTCTTCCTCAGCAAAAAGAGGAAAATTGGCAGCAGATGTTAGCCCAGGGCTAATCTTGGTCAAAAAAAAAAAACAGGAATGCCCAGACTCACCCTGAGAAACTGACTTAACCAGTCTAGGGTAAGGCTAGGCCTTTCCCTCCTGTATGTCTCTATGTCTGCAGAAAAATTGCACACTGCCAAGTCCTCCACAAGGACAACTACCACAGGCGTCTGCCGCTTTCTCTCTTTGGCATCTTACTAATGCAGCTTACACTTCCCACCCCCAGGGTACTGGGGAATGGACAGATTCGTCTTCGGATCTTACATTCTGCCACTGAGTAGCTGCTGTCCTTGGAGAAATGACTTAAACTCTCTTTCTTCTCATCTATAAAATGGGGTGAATAGTGATCCCTGCCCCATAAAATTGTGTGAAAGAGATTAAATACAGTAGATAAAGTATTTAGCACAATGAACAGTCAAAAAAATCTCAGCCAAAGAATGGAAGACCCCGGGGCTGTCTGTTCCCCGCTCCCTTTCCCTCCCACCGTCACCACTCATGGCTGGAGGTCTCTGTAAGATTAAGCACAGGCAGGCTGCTTGGGATTCAGGAAAAATACTAAAATAGAAGCTAGAAGTGAGAGATGCTGAGGGAAATGACACCAAGCTGGGGAAGCCCCTCAGGCTGCAAGACCCCATGGGGTTGCCTGATAGTAACTTCCTCCTGTGTCCCCTATGTCCGTGCCTCACTCAGGGAGGGCGCAGAGGGGCTGGCAGGCTTGGCTGTCCAGCACCGAGTTGCCATCAACCAGGCCACTGGGGGCCTTGAAGGCCAATAGGAGCTGGCTGGGAGGCTCCCAAGGCACAGAGGGAGCTGGTGGGGGGCACTGGGGAAACCTCGAAATGCTCCTCTCTGGGCTCCATCCCCCTTTCTGGCTTGCATTCTCTGTGCTGACACCCTGAGTGGACCCCTGCCGCAGAACGAGTGAGTGTGGTGTAGTGGGAAGAAAGGAGGCTCTGCGAGCTGTATTTAAACCCTGCTTCCCACTCCCTGGTGGCGTGACTGTAATCTCTCTGCACCTCGGGCTCCTCATCTGTAAAATGGAGATAACAACCCCAACTTGTGAAGGTGGTCGGAAGGATTAGAACCAACAGGTGGGGCACCTAGGGTGTATACTTACATCTGCTGTAGCTGTATTCACTCCCTGTGGATCCCACACCCACGCCCACTTCACCTGGTGTTAATGCATCCTGTAGAACAGTTGTAATGAACTGTTAGAGCTGAAGAAGAAAGCACAAGAGAGACAGCATTATGTCCCCATATGGTAAATTTCTCAAGGTCAGGAGTGGGGCCTTTCTTCTCTGTCTGTGATGCCCTACCACTTGTTACTGGGCTGTCCGTCCAGTGGGTCCCAATCAGAAGGATGGAATATTCTGTTCTTACAGGGCTCATCAGACAAAGCACTTGCAATTCCCCGATGTCATTTATCATTCATGTATTCATTCATTCCTCAAATATTTACTGAGCTTTACTGCGTGCGCGGTACTTCTCACACGCTCGCCCTGAGTGACAGGGGACAACAGGGATTGTTCTTCCCTTTGGGAGACGGTGATGATGATGATGCTCATAATAGCAACACTAATGCCAGTTCTTACTGAATGCTCACTGGGTGCCAGGTGGCTCTCAGCCTTTACGTGTCCTCGCTCATTTAATCCCCTCAACAAACCTAGACACGATGATTATCCCCGTTGACAAATGAGACAAGTGAGGCACCAGCGGTTAAGCAACTTTCCCAAAGCCATGGAGCTAATAAGTGGCAGAACCACGGGCAAACCCAGCTGGGCATCTTGACCACGGCTTTGCACCACCTGTTGGTGGAGAGAAAGAAATTCTGAGAACAGAGGATGAGAGAGATTTAGTGACGAGACCTGGAATTGAGTTGAACTGTGATCATTCGAGTCACCTTGTGAATCTTCCTTTGGGTGACAACAAACCATAAAGGATAACCTAATCTGTCCCTCTGGGAGGGTACACCCCCTGCTCCTGCCAGGCTTTCAAAGCATCATTTCTGGGCTGCCAGTCGCAAAAGAGTTCCTAAAAGACGGAGGTGGAGACTTCCCCCTCGGTTCCAGACCTGGTGCTGATGGGGCAAACTGCTGGCCATCCAGGGAAGTCATGGAGCAGCGTTGGCACCTGGATGTGGGCAGCACAGGGCCCTGCGGCTCTGTGCTATCAAGTCAGAGCATTGCCCTCTCTTACCTTCCCTGGAGTCAAAGGTCCTTGGAGCCCCTGCAGGAGAAAATCTGCATAATCTTAATTAACAACGAGATGTTAAAAAACTTCCCTGGCTCCCACAGATTTATGGGGAGGGTAAAATTAAATACCACTACTAAAACTGGCTATCAGGGAATCTCGTTAGCGCTAATGTTCATTTATAGTTTGACTTCCCCACATTTAATTCTTTTTTGGTGGGAGAGAGGGACTGACAATTTAAGACCCAGAAAGATGGTTTTACGACTGGTACAGCTATAAATCAAACTTATAAAGTTCATAAAAATTGTTAAAATAAAAAATGGTTTAATAGGAATGTTTTATGGCCCATAACATTATTATAGCTGTTTTATTCCCTCTGCGTTAGGGGTTTAATTGGATTGCCACAATTCTGGGGATTCTCCATTTTTATTGGATAGAGGGTAATCTTAAATCAAAATAGCCCCAAATGTCTTCAATATGGCTCCTCATTTCTCAGCTGTCTCCCTCCAGGCTGGGTGCTGGGCACCCTCACGGAGAACAGAGAAAGACACCAACTTTCTCTCTGACTCCCCAGGAGCAGCTGCTTTATTGGTGAAACTCCCAGGTGGCCTGGGCATTCTAGGACCCGAGCCAGAAAGAAATCAGAGCCAACAGGGAAAGTGGGCTTCAGACCAGTGTGACTTGAAGTAAAATCCAAAATTAGGATATAATGAGGTGAACATGTGCCCTCGAGCCTGACAGACCTGGCTTCAAATATTGGCTGCACCGCGCATTAATTGTGTGACCTTGCAGATGTTGCTTAGATTCTCAATGCTTCAATGTCCTCATCTGTAAAATGGGAATAATTATACTTAACTCAGAAGGTTGAGGGGAGTCTGGGTCTAGCCAGCGCTGTCCAATAGAAATATAATGCAAAAACCGCAGGTGTAGTTTTAAATTTTTGCTAGCCACATTTAAAAGTAAAAATAAACCGATGAAATTAGTGTTGAGAACATATTTTATTTAACCCAATTGACCTAAAATAACATTTCAACGTGTAATCAATATAAAAATTATTAATGAGATAGTTTGTATTAGTTTTACTCGTGCTAAGTCATTGAAACCCATTGTATATCGTACATTTATAGTACATCTCCGCTCAGACACTTACTGTGCATCTCAATTCGGACTCACTGAATTTCAAGTGCTCAGTAGCCATAGGTAGTGAGTAGCTACCATGCTAGACAGCAGGAATTTCTATTCCTAGTATTCCTGAATAACTTGTGCTCTACCCCACACCTGTTCCATAACCTTCTAGAAGTACTTGACTATTCAATTTCCCAAGACACCTACATTCACCCACACTGTCCCTTTCACATCCTTCTCAGGTGTCAGACAGATCGGTGGTGGCTCTGGTCCCCAAACAGACCTCCTCTTACAACATCCCTGCCTCTGCCAGCATCTCCCGGACGTCCATCAGCAGATACGGTGAGGACCAGGAAGGTAATCTGGACCACTCAGAGAGGAGTCTTCTGTGACCTACTGTGGACACCTCACCGTCCCCTTCTCATAGCAGGAAGCCCTTGCAGCTGCTCCCAGCCTCCAGTCAAAAGCCTTTGCTCATTTGTTTTCCTTCCTCCCTCATCCAGTCCTTCCCAGAGCAGCCAGTCTCCTCAGAGCTGTGGGCACAGGTGGCACCATGTGCCCTTCCTTTGATAGCCTAGGCCTGCTGAAGGAGTTTGAGGGGCCCAGAAGCAGGGAGGCACTGAATGAGAGGTTCATATATCCTGCTCCCAGTTCATGCATATTGTCCGGGCTGCATTATGAATAGTGCCCCCCCTTTTACTCTCAAAAGTGTCCCAGTTTGAGCAATAAATTGGCCAGCCTAGCCTGTCCACCCCTGAGGAGTGCTAGCGCCCCCAGTGCCTTCTGGGCAATGGGGTGCAGTGCTTCACTCTCCCTTATTACATTTTCTCTGGTTTTGCGTGTGCACTAAGGCTTTGGGCTGTCCAGCTAAAGGACACCTCAGGACTGAGGCCAGCAGCTCCAAAAAGGCCTTGGCAATTCCATATTCTAGGCTCCAAGTAAGAAGGGACCAATTAACTCACAAGAGGAGCATTGCAACTCCACAGCTCCTTAGTATCCGGATTTTTATCAAAGCCCCTATGAAAATATCTGGTTGACAATGTACCTGTTCATTATTCTTTGCAGGAAGCATCAGAGGAGGAGAGACTCCCAAATTCCTGAGGGTCTCTCCAGCTCACAGAATTTCTAAATCCTCTTTTTATAAAAAGGTTTCAGACTGTCCTCATGCTAACCAAGGATCCCTAAAATAACCCACCAAATATGAGGTCCTAGGGTCCCCTTCCAATTGAAACTGGTTTATTCTGAGTGAATGCAGCAGGCGGGCAGGGATTCTAGCAGGATTTACAAGCAAGGATGATGAAATCAGTCGCTTACAAGCCTCCACTGCCCCCTTCTCCTCAGACTCCTCCTTCAGGTACACAGGCAGTCCTGACAGCCTACGGTCCCGGGCACCCATGATCACCCCAGACCTGGAGAGTGGGGTCAAGGTGTGGCATCTGGTGAAGAACCACGACCATGGGGACCAGAAGGAGGGTGACCGGGGCAGCAAGATGGTGTCCGAGATCTACCTGACCCGGCTCCTGGCCACCAAGGTAACTTCTGCTCTGCCCAGCCCAGGGAGGGTATGTCCCACCCCCTACAGCACAGGGAGGAGGTAATGGAATCTGTCCTTCAAGGGGACCCATTCGGACAAGTAGGTCCAGGTCCTGGGATGGGCTTTCCAGGGGATCAGGCCACCGCTGTTCTCTACCCTCTGGCAAAAGTCACAATGATATCATTGCTTCTGGCTCACTCCTCAAGACCACCATTACTCTTCAGAGGAGCGGCTCTCTCACCTCTGGGCCCCGGACCCTTTGGGAAGATATTGGGGTTTTCTTATTGATGTTAGCTAGAGAGATACGCCATCCTCCACCATCACTGCCTTTTCTACCCACTTTCTGACAATGGGAGGGAAAGCATGAAGGCCTGGTCCTGCTAATAATCCAAGAGAAGGCTCCCTCTTCCCCTTCCCATCCCATCTACCCCAACACTGATGGAAGTGAGGCAGCCGCAGTGCTGGAAGCTGCGATCTAAAGCTGGCTTCCAGCTTCCCTAGCAGATCACAAATATGCCTATAAGTATGACGACCACACAGCCCACATTTGCCAGGCCAGGCCAGATTTCAAATACTCTCCCCACTGACCCCACAAAAATGCCACTGAAATTCTAATACAGTGGCATCCAGATTCCAGCTCCCAGACCTTCTCCCAAAAGTGGCACAGAAATACACACATCAGACCACGTGTCTCACATTTTGCTTTGCCTAATATGCTAATAAGAGATTAACAAAGAGACACCAGAAAAGGTTAGACATATTCCTGACTTTCAGAGGTGTTCCTTGAACTTGTAAACTATGGGACCCAGGCCCAGCCTTGTCCCTGCCCTTGAGACCCTCTAAGGCCCTGTGGGTGAGAGCTGTGCCTGGGTGTTCTTGGATCTGGACCCCTCACCCACAGCACCCACTCCAGACATCACTTATCCCAGGCTACTAATATCGTAAGCCTTTTCACGCCTTCCTGTCACACCTCCGCAGTCCTGCTAGGCTCCCGCCAGGAGGCTCCCAGTCCCCCCACCTTGTTCTTCAGACACCCTCTTGTACCAGCCTGCCCCCTCCACTCGCGATGGGAAGCCTGGACTTGGAGCACTCGCCATCTTCCTATCAGACACCCTGCACCCACACCTGCCTGGGAGGGACAGAAGCATAAATGTGGCATGTGGCTGCAGTTCGGAGGAGAGATTCTTCCCAGGAATCTGCAGCCTATTCAGCTCCCCCCACACTCCCCCAACAACCCAACAGTCCCCTCCCCACCCCCACCCCCACCGCACCGTCTGTACAGCCTGGCATCGCAGAGAAATTTCCAAGGCAGGATCGGTCCAAGGCACCATCTGGTCTGCCCGTCTGCTGCCTGCCGCCCGCCCCCCCCCCCCAGCCTCCCCAAACCTCCGCCTCATACTCTCGCACTACCCCCCCAGGGCACCCTGCAGAAGTTCGTGGACGACTTGTTTGAGACCTTGTTCAGCACTGTGCACCGGGGCAGCGCTCTCCCCCTGGCCATCAAGTACATGTTTGATTTCCTGGATGAGCAGGCAGACAGACACAGCATCCACGACACAGATGTGCGGCACACCTGGAAAAGCAACTGGTAACTCCCTGGGGAGCCCCGGGAGAGCTGCAGCCTGGAGAGGCCACAAGCTGTGGGGGTGGGGACCAGCAGGGACCAGGGAGATGGGGAGCCTGTTCTCTGCTGTGGCTGGGCAATCCGAGGCTCCTAGGACAAATAGTGCACATATGCTCTGCAGAGCCAACATGGTCCCCAGGCTGCCGGTGCCAAGTGGGGCCTGTCTGGCTTAGGGCCCAGCCCCAGGATGCACGCTTGAGCTCTGCCCTTTCAGGTTGAGACCCTTCCCCAGGAAGCATCTCCTCCCAAACTCTGAGACTCTGGTTCTCAGGAAAGGGATTTGGGGGAACCCACACAAAGAGCCACATTTGAAACCCAGCAGCAGAGCTTCAAAGCCAGGCAGTGCCGGCATTCTGAGCAGGACAGAATCAAAGATACTTCCTGAGAAGGGGAAGCCCTGAGTTAAAGTTAGACCCCTGGGGATGTTGGCCAGTGCTGGCGAGAGAGCTCACACCTGCTGTAGACTTGAGCCAACTGTCATTGCAAACTTGATCCCTTTAGGCCAAGTTATTACCCCGAGGGCCGTGGCTGTCAGTAAGCCAGGCAGGATGTCCCACAGGCATGACTCTTCCGTAAGGGAACCTCCAGAGCCAGACCCAGCAGTGGGAGAAGCAGCTCCCACAGGCCCCTGGCAAAACCCATCTCTCCTGGGTTTTGAACCTGGACCACAGACCAAGCTAAGGACTGGCTTCCAGGTCAAACAGGGCCTGACCAAGAACCAGAGTCAAAACCCTTCCTTCAGGAAAGAGCAAAGTGAGGGGAGAGAGGAGGTCCAGGCATTTGGGCTGGGCAGGCAGCCCACACAGCTGTCTGGAGTCAGCGATCTCCTCAGAAAACAGAGCCGACACAGATGGGCCCCGGCTGTTATTTGGGAATCAAAAGTCCTAGCAACCAGCAAAACACTTTGGAAAAACCCAACCCCAACCCCAAATATTCCTTCCTTCTCCGGGGTGTTGTGGTTGCTGGGGCCTCTGAGTCTGCAGCTTTGATCACAGTGGCGTGAAATGGAGAGACTCTGGTGGTCGTGGGGTGAGGAGCCCACAGTGCTCTTCACTGGGGCAAGCCTTTCATCTGCATTCCATGGGCAGGGCCATGGCTGTCTCCTTCACTTTGGAGGATTCCCCAGTCCAGCACTGGAAGTGGCCAATTTCAGGGAAATCAAGAGAAAGTTCTAGATGATCCCCTTCTCTGTGCCTTCTGTTACTGGCGAGGCCCAAGTCGTAGAAATGTCCTACACTGGAGCCGTGGTGGGGAGAGTCTCATTATCCAGACCTCAAATAGCTGATGTCCAAGGAGAGAATATTAGAAGCTTGCCAAAGCTGCCGAAGGAAGGGGAGGGTGGAAGAGATGAGTCACCTCTCAGCGAGGCAGCACCTCCCCTGTTACAGGAAAGCGAGGGATCCTGCTGTACTTTGAAAGATCAGCGGAAATCATAATGCAAGGGCTTAGAGTGGGTAAAGCTGATGTTTCCCAAGACTTGGCATGAATGAGGGCTTTGGGAAAGTTTGGGGTCCTTGAGAGTCAAGAGAAGATGAAGAAGGGGAGAGGAGGGGAAGGCTGGATTGCTGGAACACCATCCATCTCAGGCCAGAAGGACAAGTGAGGTGACAGAGCTCACTCCACAGAGGGGCCCGAAGAGTTAAGGCCCTGCAGGCAGCTGGAGGAGAAGGCAGAGTTGGAAAAAGCAGCAGAAACAGCAGCTGTTCTGATTTTGAAGGGGAGTAAATGGGCTTATCCTCTTTATGGCCTAAGGAGCAGAGAAAACGCATTCTCCGATTATAAATTCCTGAGTTGCAGAAGGAACTCTCCTAACGACTGATCAGTTCCTCTTGGGGTGGGAAAAACTCCGGGCCACAGTGAGTCATTCCCAGCTTGCCAACAATGACCTCCTCTTCTCCATCTGCCCCTGCCCAGATACAAGAAGGCCCTGGGGAGAGTCATGAAAGAACTGCCCCTAGGGGAGCCCATTCCTCAGCCCAGCCAGGCCAGGCCAGCCCTGGGAAGCAGCTCGGGCAGCCGGGCTGGGCGGAGAGCACAGGTGGTGCCCTTTGTGCCCACTCTGAGGCAGTGCCTGGGGCTGCCCGAGGCGTCCTTCCGGACAATGGCCATGGGCACGGTGCAGGAACTCTAGGAGCCTGGTGGCTTTGTTTGAAGCTTGAGAAATTGTGCAGTCCTCCATGTTTGGGCTTCCCTGGGGACATGGAGGCCTTTGGAAAAGACCGCTGGGCGGGAACAGAACCCACCACGCCCACCCCTCAGTTATTAGAGAACAGGGTCAGGCCCCCTCAGGGTACAATGGCCCCTCTCCTTTTCTCCCAGTGTCAGGAACAGCTTAGCCTAAATTAGCGTCCTGGCTGGACCAGTCTTCTGTGATTTCATCCCCTTGCCCTCTGGAGAGGGAATTTTGCATCTGGCAGGGAGGGGAGGAATATTAGGGGACAGCATCAGGGGCATGGCTGAGTGCAGCCCTCGGGGTCGGCTCTGCCTTTTCCTACAGCCTCCCTCTGCGCTTCTGGGTGAACGTGATCAAGAACCCCCAGTTCGTTTTTGACATCCACAAGGGCAGCATCACGGATGCCTGCCTCTCCGTGGTGGCCCAGACCTTCATGGACTCTTGCTCAACGTCAGAGCACCGGCTGGGCAAGGACTCCCCCTCCAACAAGCTGCTCTATGCCAAGGACATCCCCAGCTACAAGAGCTGGGTGGAGAGGTCAGTAGCATCCTCCGGACAGGCCCCATGCCCCTGTCTGCCTACTCCATTCCCTGCCTGTGGGTTTCGCTGACCGAGGACTCAATACCGTGTTTGTGGTACCTTCAGGACCTCATGCTGCCCTCCTTCTTCCTTGTCTAAACCTCCCTCCTGAGGGAGGAAGGGAAACTTTATACCCTTGGAAGTCAGATCATTATCATTCTAATTACTGTTTATTGAGGACCTGCTAAGCACCCAACACTGGGATAAAGATTTCATATGTATCATCTCATTAAAATATCCAACAAAAATGTGAAGTAGGTATTATTATCATCCCTGTTTTACTGATGAGGAAACTGCAGCACAGGGAGGCTATGTGACTTGCCCAAGGTCATGCAGCTAGCAGGTAACAGAGCTGGGATTTGAATACAAGGAGTCTTGTCAGAGTCTGGGCTTTTTAACCATCCTGGGGGGTCACTGCAGCTGGGAGCTCGAAGCTAGATTCAATCTCCTCAAGAAACTCTGGCTTTGGGGAATGCCAGTCTCCAGGCCCTAACCTCAGCTTGAGGCAGGAGGCCAGAGGAAGCCACATCAGAAGAGAAATGGGGAGGCAGGAGCACTTGGGGACACTCTGTGCTCTCGAGGGGCCTGAGGCCAGGGTAGGTATAGACAACTGTTTGCCGAGTCCCCATCAAGGAGCCTGTCCTCCTCTCTACGGCAGATACTACGCAGACATCGCCAAGCTCCCCGCCATCAGTGACCAGGACATGAACGCCTACCTCGCTGAGCAGTCCCGCCTGCACGCCGTGGAGTTCAACATGCTGAGTGCCCTCAATGAGATCTACTCCTACGTCAGCAAGTATAGCGAAGAGGTAAGACAGGGCCCTCGAAGAGACGGAAACCAACACGCGGCAGGCAAGGCAGTTAAACAGAAGGCCTGGCTCCGTCCTCAAATAGTAGCAATAGAGGGTGATTTGGCAAATACTCATGGAGTCAAAAACCCATGAGCTCAAAAGTCGTTACCATTCCTTGAGAAGGCAGCCTGCCCTCTCCTGATTCATTGAACGCTTTCTTATACATTTCATTGTCTTTCACTCATTGTTAACACAATAAATAACACTTTTAACAACATAATTGTTTTTCAGTTCAAAGTGTTGTATGATTAATTTCACTCTTTCCTAAACAATGAATCAGGCTATTCTTTGCACTTGGGCAGATCCTGTCAGTTACATTTCTGATAGACAAGACCTTCACCTGCATAGAGGTTGAATAGGACAGCTTCAGAGAAGTCACAAGTTGTGCATTACCATTGGACCTGAAAGTAGTATTCCTGATAATAATAGTAATAGCTAACACTTACATAGCACTTCCTATATGCCAAATATTGTTTTAAATACTTTATATACATACATATATATACATACACACATACATATTACATGTACATACATATATATTCAATAATCATTTACATTATTTCAAGTTACGTTCATTAGGGTGGAATGGAAAGGTAGAAGGATGAAGGATTTGGAAAACGCCATCTTCCGTACTGAGTCCTGAAGTCTTCCCCTGCTTTGTGTTTGTCCCTCAGCTCATCGGGGCACTAGAGCAGGACGAGCAGGCCCGGCGACAGCGGCTGGCGTACAAGGTGGAACAGCTCATAAACGCCATGTCCATTGAGAGCTGAGAGATGGAGCCTCAAGTTCCTGGGAAGAGGGACCCGTGAGAGCTGTCACACCGGGAGTCTCAGAAGGAAGGACAAGTGACGGGGATCAGCCCCCAGAGCTTGCTGTCCCCTGAGACCCCATGCCGGGGAGAGGGGAGGGCCCCTCTCCCCACGCCAGCCAAGTTTCGTCACAGCCGGTTCCTGCAGGGAGAGTCCATGCGCGTCATCCATCCACAGCGAGAACGAGAGAGAAGCAGGCGCGGAGAAGGTGGTTCTTCAAGCTGAGAGGCACGAGCGGGGCCAGTTCTGCCTCTGTGACTGCTGCTTTGCATGAAAACTCATTTGATGTATATTGGGGAAATAATGAGAACTTTATTTAATTTTTTTTAAGAAAAAGGAAAACCAGAAATAAAACAAAGCAAAAAGCTGCCCTGTTAATCCCGTCCAACTTTTGTTGAATTCTGATTTCTGCCCCCCTTCCTTCTTTCTTCCCCTTCGTCCGTCCTTCCTCCCGTAACTCCTGTTTCCAAATGTCAGGAAAAAGCCTACAAAGAGATGCTGAGAGAAACTGGAGCGAAAAGGCTTGTTTCCTTTCCCTTGAAATTAAAAACAAAAGGAAAGAAAATGAGGAGAAGAAGAATGAGCACAAGTTCACACCAAACACTTCGCAAAAATAGAGGCCAGTAAAACCTGGAATTATCCCAGCAGCCGGAAGAACATGGAAACTGAAGAACTTTGCACAAATTGCAAAGCCATCGAGTGGCTCAACCTGGCTGACTGGCACTTGAGCTTTACATACCACACACCTGTATATTCTCATCTCTTGAGAGGAGATAATGTGTCTATAGAATACCAATGCTTTTTGCTACTGTTTTTTTGTTTTGTTTTATTTAATCCCAAACCTCAACAAATGACAAACTGATCTTTGGTACTTTTCCTTTTGGTTTCCCTAAAGTTACTCCCAGAAGTGGGGAGAGGTGGGCCTCTCCCAGACCAGACACCTGGCCTTCCTGAGGACATTGGGCAGCTCTGCCTTATGTCAGTCACTGTCATAGACCAGGCACCCTGGGGAAAGGGCCTGGAATTGTGTGGCCCAGGCCTCTGGGAGGTTCCATTTGGGAGTTGATTTAGGGACATGGGTGTTTGGCTGTGGATTCCACTCCAATCCTCCAGTGGTTTCTTGCAATTAAAGAGAGAACAAAATCAAACCCTGTTTACAGCAAGCAATACTTGAAGAGGATAGGTTAAAGACACTGCAGTATTTATTGTTATGCTTTCTCTCTTGTTCTCTCATGCCGGGAGAGGGGAGACAACCCTTCGGTCAGATGTGGAAGCTCCTGATCGTCTGAGCACTTCCCTCAGTCGATATGACTGTAGCATCCCCACGTTACTGTCTTCTGCCTCTCTTTCTGCCTCTCATGTCCTTATGAGTTTGAAGGACAAATGGTGGCTTCTCACTGGGCTCCTTTCCTTCTCTCTCTCTCCTGCTGACACCTAAAACCATGGATGACCAACTCTCCTGAGGGTAGTTTCCAAACAAAGAGACCAAAGCTCCATGCCCTGGTCCTGAGACCCCGTGGAAGCCACTGGGAGTCATCCAGAGGAAGGCGACTGTTGGCACAGGACCTTGGTGACCGGGACAGCCATCAGAGTTTTCAGGCCTCCCATGCTGGCAAGGATCCAAGCAGCCAGCTCCAACTTCTCTGCAAGCAGCATGGGAGTGAGGAGAAGGACAAGAGGAAGGCGAAGGGAGGAGGCAGGAGGGGACCAACTTCCCCTTCCCACCTTCTACTTTCAAAGGGGCTGCAATGCTGGGAAACCGGACCAGCCATTCCCGGAGAGACCAGACCAGGGTCATTTCCTCTATAATTAACTCTGGGCCCCAGCTTCTCTGTGCCCTGGTTTACCTCCAAGCAATTCCAATTTCCAAAGGCTCTGCTGACCACATTGCATTCCCAGGAAAGGACTGGGGGAGGGGGAGTGCTGAGGGCTGGCTTCCATCCCTGGCGTGTGGCTTTGGGTCGCTGTGCTAACCACACAGCAGACATCGCCTGGTCTCTTCAGTTCCAGTTTCTTGCCTGAATGCAGCTGACAAATGGGAAGAGAAAAGCATTCTGCAAAATACTCAGGAAACTCGCTGTTTTCATTAGAATTCACAACCAGCCATGCCAAGGCCACTTTCTTCTGATAATCCACTTCTGTTCAAGTTTCTCTGGGCCCTATTAATAGCCTGAAAGAAATACTAATGACTGGCCTTCTACACTAAGCCAAAGTGTCTGCTCTTCCTAGCACCCAAAGCTTATCAGCTCAGAGCCCACAGTTTATGGAGATGAAAGGAGAGGAGATACGGGCAAGAGGAATGTGAGCAGGGGACTTTGTGCCACCCACAAAAAATTCCAGCCCACCTCATTTTACTTCTGAGCATCTGAATGAAGATGCCTCACACTGGCATCCAGGGCCTTGCTCTACCAAGAAGTAAAAGGAAGTTAGACATCTCAACTGCATCTTAACCAACCCTTACCTCTATGCATCTATCCGGGCGTTTCTCAGCACCTACTTTTGGTGACCATTCAATGCCCCTGGGGATGCTTCCTGGAAGGTTTTGGGGGAGTGTGGAGAATGATGGGGGGATTGCCAACTGAAGTGGAGAGGAGAGGAGCCAGAGCTGGCATGAGTGGCTTGGCCACATTTCTCAAGATTCCATGAGAGAGTTGGGGAACATGGGCTGGCAAAGGAAGTGGCACAGGGGCATCCCTAAGGAAGGAATTAAGACAAAAGAAAACTCAACTGGACTTAAGCCAGGCCATGAGGGTGAAAGGTTATAGAGCCTTGTCCCCTTTCTGGCTTCCCACCTGTCCCTCCTCTACCACCGCTTGACTTTAGGTCACCAAGAGCCAATGGAGTCCATGCCCTGTGGAATGGGGAGGAGAGAGAGTCGGTCGGCCTCTCTCCTCACTATTATCCAATTTGAAGATATTTTGACCTTGTATAAGGAATAAGTATCAAAGTCAGCCCCTCCCCCACACAAAGCCATCTGTCTTGGAGGGAGGAAGGAAGGGAAGTCTCTCTCGAAAGTCAATCCAGCTTTGCTTTGTTTCGTTGATCTGCACAAGAGACAATTCTCTGGAAAAGGAAAAGGACCCCAGAATGTGCTTGGCAAGACAGAAAGTGCTAATGGACAAGATGGAAATAGACCAGATGTCCATCCTGGTGGAGCAAGTCCCTCCAGCTGGCACCTGCTGCTGCCTCCTGCCCTCAGCATGGGTTCAGGGATGTCTGTGCTCGCTCTCCTACTTCTCCCCACAGTGCATCTCTCAAAACCATTTCTGATCCACCACTGGCAGAGAGCTCCCCCTCCTTTGCAGAGTTCAGTCATTAAAAGAATGAACTAGCTGTTAACGTCACGGGAGGGAGAGAACTATTTCCTACGTTCATTCATTTGGGGAACCTTCTGGAGCAGCAACTGTTTGCTAGGGACAGCTCTAGGTGCTGAGAAACAGCAATGAACAAGACCAAGAAGGTCCTGCTTCTAGCAAGTTTAATTCTTCAGGTTGCTGGTTCCTGAAAGCAACTTCCCAGGCACAGTTTTCCTCCCTGACCCGCAGAGGGCACGAGTTTTGTAGGGGCCGGAAGAAGGAAGAAGGCCAGACACACAGTTGCCTTACCTTATTCTGGGGACATTCCTCCAGCAATGAGAGCTTCTCTCGTTTCCACTGCCCCCATCTCTTCTGAGGGCACTCCCCTGCTGCGTGAGCTCCTGACCTTCCTTCAATTCCGCCAAATGAGGACAAGAAATAGCAGTCAAGGCCTCTGGCCCTGCCGAGCTTGAAGCAGAAGTAATAGATGGATGTGCTGGACTAAAAATGGTCTGGGCAGAACAAATAGAAGACGTGTGAAAGGCTCTGGCTGATAAATCTCCAGGTGCACTCCATTGCCACACCTGCCCCCATCAACCTGCAATCGGTAAATACTGAACCGGCAGCCGCTCTCGGGGAGGCTTTTTCCCAGCCACATTGTGTCATAGGTGAGGTCCCTGGGGGCTGGCCATGGACAGGAAAGATCCGAGACTCGGGGGACTCTGTGGGTGAGAAAATGCAAAGCAACCTCGTAGACATGGGGCTGTGGGAGCGGATCCCATGGGGAGACTTGAGAGATGAAGTTCAGGCCCACTGATGCCTTGTCTCAGGAACAGGCTTTGAGAAAATGACGGCATCCTCTTCATAACTCCAAAGTCTGTCTTCCCTGTCGCTTTCCTTTCTCCTGGTTTCCCCAAAGAGTGAAGTTGTAGCATCTGGGGCTCAGCAATGCCCATGGATGAAAGATAAATTTTCACTCTTGGTATTAGGGAGGTCCTGGGAGATGATCAAGACCACTGCTTGTCAGACAGGGCCTCAGCCCAACCAGGAAACGGGAGATTCTCAGCCTTTCCTGGACACTCCTATCTTGTTCTCCTCACCTTAAAGGGGCTCTACCTTCAGACCGGGCTCCATCCTTCCTGCCACGCATCCTGTTTCTCCTGTCCTAGCCTCAAGGAAGATGGGAGGCATCTTCTGGATTTCAGTCATGGCCCTGACTTTGGCTTTATTTGCCCTCCTTATTGGGATTACAGGTGAAGAACGTAATGGAAAATAGTGACCCCCAATCAGAGCAGATGTTCTTGAGTGTGTTGGGGAGAAAGGGAGAAGCTCTTTATACTAAGACTAGGGACCTTGAGCCCAGCTGCCTCTCCCCCCAACCTCTCCTACCCGAACCCACTCTTCTTGACACACTGGAATCTCTATTATACATATATATATTTTTAAGAAAATGCAATGATAGTTGTCTGGTTTTGTTGTTTTTACAGTTGTTGTGGAATAAAAATTGTAAGAAAATTAAGTATTTAAAAGGTTCCAATAGAACGGGGTTTTTTTGTTATTCTAATATATTATTGTGTACCTATTGTAAATATGAAACACTCCTATTTTGCAAGCCAAGGACACAATTTGTACTGTTGTTATATATAAATAAAGTTTACTGGATAAAAAAATCTTAAATCTTCAAATCAATCTGGTTGGTCAGCAGCACAGATGCAGAATAACATTTCAGGGGCATATTTAAGAAGCAGGGTACTCACAGGAAGATGAACTAAGTTGTTTGGAGGGACTTCCAGAATTCTCTCTGGAGCCGGAGCTTATTAATGTCCAGCCATTATCATCAACAGACACATGCACACACGCGCGCGCGCACACACACACACACACACACGCACTCGCACGCCTACTCTGCCCTGGCTTGTACCAGTAGGTGAACACTGCCCCCTAGCCTCAAGACCCCAGAATATAGCTTTTCTCCAACAGGAGGCTGATAGTGCAAAGATGCTTGGGTTGAGGCCCTTTCCCAGGGTGAATGAGGTCTCAGAAGAATAAGGAGATCCACCCCCAGCCCTCCCTGAACGTTACATTCATTTGTACAAAACATTTATTAAGCATCTACCATAGTCTGGCATGTGGTCTGTCCTGGGATATAAAATAATAAATGAGAAAGGCGTGATTCTTGTTGTCATCAAAATCATAAGGGGAAAATCAGAAGGATTCTGAAAAAGGAATGTCTCAGCATGCCATGGGAAGGGGTTTTTGTTGTTTTTCTTTCATTTTCAGCTGAGGGATTAAGGGTGAATCAAGGGAAAGATGCCAGATAGTCTGTGCTTTTAGGGCGGCATGGGGGAGTGGGCGGGGGCTCTGGCCTAGGGGTACAGGCTGTTGGGCTGACTTGGAGTCCAGAGGCCATGAGACTTAGAGGGAGGGAATTGATTGATCTGAGAACATCATGCACCCCCCCCACTTCTGTACTTCCATTTTTCTATATACTTTTTTTCTCGTATCCCAAAGTGTGTGGGTCACATTTCCACTCTCAGGTGGTAAAAGGAGTAGATGAGAACAAGTCAAGAACCTGTCCATCTGACGTCACTGAGTGTGCCAGGAAATTGCTGATCACTCCCTTCATGATAATGAGGTCAGACTCGTTTTCTGGGCCTTCAGCCTTGTACCCAGCAGTAAGAGAAGAGAAGAGTAGAGCCTTCTGAAGGATGAGCTGCAGCCCTTGCCCTCGGAAAGGCTCCAGTCGGATTGGGGAAAAAGTCCCTGCCTTCAGGGTGCCTCCAGGCCGACAGGGGAGACACAGACCCCGCTCTCAAGGACAGCTCAGTCTTATATGGACGGCCAGCACATGTAAGAATGGGGCCTCAAGTCAAAAAACAAATCATGTAAACAAGTGCATGTTGCTAAATATAGTGTGTGCTAGAGTTGTCGAATTATCATAGAGTCAAAGAGACCATTCCTGTGAAGGTTTTTCAGTCCCTACTTCGCAGCCTCTGAGTTTATGGTGTTTGTGCACACACACACACACACACACACACGTGCACACATACTGTTCCCTGAGAGGCTGGAAAGATGCAAATACTGGTCCTGAGGGTGGAAAAAGTGCAAACACAACACCCTGAAGAGCTGGGGAAGAGCACGTTGCTGTGGCCCGTATGAGCACCGTTTAATTAGTGCATCGTTCTCAATTGCATGGAAGGTCTTGTTTGTGAGCACACAAACCAGCCTCTGCTTCTCTTTTAAATGCAGACCTAGAACATTGGAGGCACTCTATTCTACTACAGTCAAAAAGGCATAATGTTTCTCAGTAAAAGCAATAACGTGGCCCTGGCGAGCTCCTGGCTTGTTAATAGCGTGGGACAGGAGTGGTTAGATCAGATCGGCCTCTGTCAGTGCCTGGTGGGGCCCCTTGAGTAGCCTGTGCTGAGACGCAGGACCACATGGCCTGGAGGAAGGAGACCACTTCTCTGTATGCGGTCCTTGCACCCCAGAGCTTCTCGATCTTCTTGCCTCTCCCTGTCTCTCCTCTCAGCAACTCAGACTTGGGGCACTTCTATGATTAAATATCTACTGCAGGAACTACCATCCTCAAGGAAGGAGGAGATGAGGCAGGGGGGGGAATCTACCAGGGGCCTGTCTGTCCTGTTCACTGTTATAGTCCCAGGGCAGAGCACATTCAGTGCCCGGCCAAGCGCAGATGACCAATAAGAATGATCTGAATAAATAAATGATCAAATAAATGAATTTTGTGAACCACTTACCATATTCCAGGCACTGGAACATGCTCTCTTTTAGGACTGTCAGTCTCATATGATTGGCATGTTCCATTTTTATAGCCTGAGGCTCAGCGAGCTTAAGGTCACACAGCTTCTCCCAGAGCTCAGATTGCATGCTCTTTCCACTGCACTCCACTGCCTTTCATTAGCTCTAGAACCATTTAATGCTTGGAAGTCTTCCCCAGAAATGGATCCTTCCTCTTGTAACAAGCGGGTGCTATGGGAGCACTCACTAATGCTCCCATGTGTTCAGCACAATTGCTCTCTATTTGTCACTTGCAGTGAGCGCAACACTGGACTAGGCATGGTTAGACATACAAAGGAGGGAAGTTAAGTCTTAAAGTTGCAGCTTTCTAAGACTTTACAATCTAGTGTCAATACCAAATCATTAGTCTAAGGGAGAAATTCTCATCCGTTTTCTTAGCGGAATTAGATATTGTTTTTAGTGCAAGTTCAAAATAATTTTGCCAAACTGCAGTAATAGGGGTCTCAGAGAGCTGGACTCCTCAATTTGAGGAAATACCTGTATGATAAGCCACTCGAGAGAATTAAGGGACATGGGTGCTGCTGGTAACCTGTCCTTCACCACAGTGACACGACGAGCTGTCAAAGCTCTCTGCTCAGCAAGCAAGCTGAAGGACAGAGGGGGCTCCCACCTGGGTTTGCATTGGCCACTGGAAGGTTGGAACCAAATTTGTGGCCCACCAACAGGAGCAGGACTTTCTGCTGAGTGTTATTATAATATTCATCTTATTCCTGGCTTCGCTTTAGGTCTCTGCCTCATTTATCTTTATTCTTCACTCCCTCCTCCTTTCTAACTGCTGAGTGTCATGGAGACCTGGCTAAGAGCACAGGCCTTGGCTTCAGATTGCTTAAAGTTGAATTCCATTCCCAAGCTGTGTCTAGGGAAAGTTACACAACCTTTCTGTGTATCAATTTTCAAATCTATAAAATGGGGATGCCATATATTAAAGAGGGGTTTTGGAGGAGTTAAATTAAGGTAACATATATAATGGACTCCATAAATATTACAATAAGTAAATAAGAGAGAGAGAACTAACCACACATCCTTCTTTTATAGGCAGTCCACCAGCACCTAGAGGCAGGAGGAGATGAGACTGTCTATCTGGCCGTGGGAAGAAGCTGAACTAATGCTCATGGGTTTCAGAAAAGAAAGTTGGTGTCTGAGAGTTAAGCCCTTAGGAGACTAGGCATCCATGCTGACCAAAGGAAATAGGAGAGGAATCAAGGCTTCACCCAAAGGCAGAAGCAGCTATGAACCAGGCAGTAAGTATGCTACAGGAAAATAGAAAGTAGCAGAGAGAAGTGGATCAGGCCTTATCTCCATGTGCTAAAGCCACAGACAGAGCCCAGTTGGCTAAGGCAGCAGGTGGCTTCTGGAAAGCCTAGTCAGGACCAGGAACCAAAAAGAGTTTGTGACCTACCAGGAAAGATAGCTGTTCACCCAGAGAGCCAGGGGCACGTCAGGCCCACAGGCCCAGGGCAGGGACAACAAAAAAGGGCAAGTGGGCTGGAGGCAGAGGGCACAGACCCCAGGAGGGCTGGTTCTCAGCAAGAAGCCAGGAAAGCAGAGTAGGAAAGGGAAAGGGAACGGAGAGCTCACTAGACCTGGGAGGGGGGACCTTACCTGTCCCTCTCAGGGAAAAGTCTGGGTACCTCCATCCCCAACTGGTTTCAGGTCAGTGTATTAGTCAGGGTTTCCAGAGAAACAGAACCAACAGACCAATAGGATGTGTGTGTCCATGTGTGTGCACGGGAGAGTAGATAGAGAAAGAGCGAGACTATGTGGAATTGGCTCACAGGATTGTGGAGGCTGGCAATTCTGACATCTGCAGGGCAAGCTGGCAGGCTGGAAACTCCGGCAAGAGCAGACGTTGCAGTCTTGAGTCCAGAGGTGGTCTGGAGGCAGAATATCTTCTTTGGAAAACCTCAGTTGCGCTCTCAAGGCCTTCAGCTGTTAGATGAGGCCCACCCGTATTTTGGAAGGTCATCTGCACTGCTCAAAGTCTACTGATTGTAAATGTTACTCACATCTAAAACATACCTTTGCAACAATCTCTAGACTGGTGTTTGACCAAACAACTGGGAGCCATCCCCTAGCCAAGTTGGCACATAAAATTAACCATCGCAGTGAGGAAAAGACAAGTCAAACACTGAAGGTAAATTTGGTGCATGTGATCTGCAAATCCATCCACTTTGACGCTTTTCTTTTATCGTGGTAAAATACATGTAACATACAATTCCATCTTAACTATCTATAGTTCAGTGCTTTTGAATCTATGCACATTCTTGTGCACCAGCACCACCAACCATCCCCAGAACCCTTTTCATCTGGTAAAACTGAAACTCTATACCCATTATACAATAACTCCCCATTCTCCTCTCCCCTTAGCCCCTGGCACCCACCATTCTACACTTGGATGCTTTTTCATCTGGTTTCTTTCAACCTTAGTTTCCTAGCAGAAAATGCTTTTGAAAAATCCCAACCTTTGCCAGCTAACCAAAGAAGAAAAGGGACAGACATCCATGACATATAGAAAGTTCTCGAGGCCAGGAACGAAGGATAGAGGAGCAGGGAGGGCTCCGGCTCCAGATCAGGAAGAGGCGCTGATGCTGTTTATCATGGAGAGTAATAGGGAGTGGAAATACTGGGCACCACCCCTCCTCTGGTTTTTCTCTCAAATTCATAAATGTCTATATTATCCTAGCCCATTTATAAGAGGCCCACCCAAGAAGCATACACCAGAAACTGGTAAAAAAAAATTATTTGTCTAATTCCCAAGAATCATGTGAATTTCCAACCTTCCTGATCCATCTCCCCAGTCTCACCTGTCCTTGGTTCTCCCATCTTCATTTGGCTTCATTTCTCAGTT